TTAACGTGGATTTAAAAATCCGCAGGTTGGCCTCCTCGTGCGGGGAAATAAGTAAACAGAAGTGCTGTGCAGTGTATCTGCTGAAACACAGGGGTTATATCTGGAGATCCTGCCAAAGCGTCTCGCTCCTGACAGGATGAAGTATCACACTATGGCAGTTTTGTTTTTCACCACTAGGTGATGTGCTAATACTGTTTTTCCAACGCTGTGGTTAAGTTACCCTCTTAATCATTTCCAAGTAACCTATCATCTTAAACGGGTCCCTTTTCATGTAGTTTAAGACCACAGACAGACCGGGTGGTGATCCTGACACCAATCAGTGGCAATCTAGTTTTACCCTTTTATTTTTTATTTTTTTGGTTTCTTTGTTGTAGTAGTAGTAGTAGTAGTAGTAGTAGTAGTAGTTGTTGTATTGGCAGAAATTTCCATTTTATTTCTTTTTCATTTTTATTCCCTGTGTGTACACTCTTCCCGTCTCTCCCCAGCATGAAAGACAACACATCTTGAGAGTAAGCATGACTCGTATTCTTGTGCAACTCCAGATACTTTTCTGTCTCGTTTGCTCTGAGACTGCCGGGGTTTTAACATCCCTCCTTCCTGTTTCTCATTCCATTGACTTCCCTCAGTTTTGTTACCACCCCCTATTGCAAAGCCACACGTTCGAGGAGGTTATTTTCATATTCCGCAACAGACATATTTTGAATATTTGTCCCTCTCAAGCCACATAGTTGCATTTCTTTTTTGCTTGTGGCTTCATGCATTTAATTAAATTTGCATTGGCTTTAATGGGATTTCTGTTTTAGAAGACCCTCAGTTGTGGTTAAAGGCTTTTCATCTTTAATATGTTTATTTCTGGTATGCAACAGGTGGTAACAAGTGCACTGAGTTCTTCACTCTACTAAACAAGTCAAAGAATCATCACAAGGGGCCTCTGGACGAGCCATGCGAATGAGACTTGTTTCTGTCCAATTTGACTCTGTTTTCTATATTTTTTTAGTTACTGGGTCTCCATGATACCCAGATCATTTTGCTTTGAATTCTCAATGTTAAAAGGAGACAACAAAAAATATAGAAAGAGGCTTGATCCAAAATGTCCAGAGAGAATCTTGATCACTTCTTAACTTCAGAACTGGGCTATGATAAACTTATTATTTCACGTGTTAACTTCTTCTTCAGCATGGAACATAAGAATTATGAAACTGAATATGCGTAACAGCTAATGGTCAACACTGACATGTAACAAACATTTGTTTAGAATCAGAACAGTTTGCATCGGTATAAAATGTCAGATAATCAGCCCTCATCCTAACAACTCTTCTTTTGTCAGTTCATCAGAATTTATAGATTTCTCCCCCATAAAACTAATCAAATTTGCAGTTTACAAGGTATTAAGAAAATCAGTGAAAGATGGGTAGTTAAGACGATAGTAGTGACAGTAACTAAATGATCCACATACCTCTTATTGCAGATTTAAAAGAAAAAAACCTTTGTTATTGGGATTTTTATGATTACAAAACAGCTTTTATTAATGACTGTGTTGCATGACCAACAAGAAAACAGAACACTTTTTTTTGTACTTTGTATTTCTAATTAATTGAAAATTAAAGAATAAAAGCAATTTTCCTTCATCTGTTTGCTGAACTAGACATAGAAGGGATTTAAAGAATCTGTGACACTGAAAAAGACATGAGAGAGAAAAGATCCTTCCACCAACTGTTACCAGAGGTCAAGAGGTGGAATATTTCCATATGCTGCTGTCTTGTCTTGAACGCTACCTGCTCAGGAGCAGTAAAACTCACCAATGCTTTGTAGCCTTAAAATAAATGAGTCACCTTCCTGACCCTGAACACTGAGGGTTAGACCTGAAGTTAGCTCATTAAGCCATAAATCCCTGGTCAGGGGATGATTTGCAGCAGTCACAGTGGCTTTGTGCCGTTGCTGTAGAGGCGCCTGCATGCAGTCTGATCTTAATCTGACCGCCAAAGTTCTGATTTTGTGGATTATTTTTCCTGCGCTCAGTGAGGCAGAACTGTGGTGTTGACGATTCCCTTTCTCTGACTATTGCGCCATTGCGCAATAAAATCACCAGATCACAGATCAGATTAAATCATTTAAAAAGTAGTTTCTCATTCAGTTCTGCGAGTAAACTTTCTTATACGTTTTTCAATACATCAGATATTTAAGGTAAACCAATGCCAATACACTGGGTACGGTCCATAAAGTAGACTGTAGACAAAGTCTGATATATTTTAGAAAGTATGCTGGCCTCATTTTGAAATATGTATTTTAATCTAAGTTAACTACTTATGATTAAAGGTTTAGTTCACATGCAAAAAAAACATTAACTTAGTTCTACATGAACCACATTGCTCCCAGACATCGGTTGTGGAATCTGTAAAAGGAAATCACAGCTGAAAGCATTTTGACTTTAAGCGACCTTTCATCATCCATCAAGAAAACATGCACTCGATGAAATGAGTACAATTTAATGCTTCCAAATTTAATTTGTCACCCTTAAACAGAATCTTGTGGTACTTTAGAAATTAAATTACGTCATCTTAGTTAGTTGCATATCTTTGCTGTGGCATTGGGAGAGTAACGGGGCTGGACTGTCTTCTTTTTAAACACACAAAACATCAGTATAGCGCAACTTAACCAGTTTGTTATACTGTTAAAAAGGCTATTTCATATACTGTAAAATGTGTTAGGAAGTGCAGTTTTTAACCTCAATGTGGTCATAGGAACATAATAGCTCTCACATGGAGTGGGCATTGTGAGTGAGGGCAGAACTGGTCATCAGAACTGGCCATCAGTTGGTTTACATTGACGACAGTTGCCTTTGTGAAAATGGCCCATTTTCCCCATGTCACATACCCTGACATTCACTCATTCTGCTAAAACCCAGTGAGTGGAAATGTCCAACTGATGCATTTGACTCTAAGATTCTTGCACCTCTTATAGCTCTGCATGTCAGACCATTTATGCATGTGTGTAATTGCACGGCCGTACAGCGCTGTGAGCCTCCCACCACACCGAAACCCCACTATAGCGCCCTGTGTGGGTTCAGAGCCTGCAAACGATGCAGCGCAGTTTCGCAGCAGCCCTCTGAAAGCGCCTGCTCATCCACTTTGCATCCACGCGGGTTTTGCATCGACACCTACCTCACGGGGCTCAGGCAGTTAGCGGCAAGCAACGATAAGGACGATCTCACTCACAGTCAGTGAGCTGAGTTCATGGCTGTCCACAGGAAAAACTGACACAAACGTGCCAGGGTTTCATCACTCCGATGCCATACACGCCGTTTGAGCTCACCTGATTATTCACCAAACTGAAAACAGGCATATAAAAAGAAGATGGGTTTATTGTTAATCGAGAGAACACAAACCCATCGAGTACACGCCCTGGTTTACCGTACCAGTCTCCTCCATCCCCTACTATTTGTCCAGCGAGGTAATTATTAACCCAATCAATACAAGCTCTGTGTCCGCAGTCCCACCTCATCCCGAGTCACCTGAACTCTGGACGACGCATCCCTTACAATGGCTTCTTTCTTTGCTTGATTTATCTGAGAAAACAAAGAGAAAAGAGGAAATATCGAATGGCTCTCAGCTTGGATACCGCAAGTCATTTTGAAGACTGAACCTTTTATTCCCTGAGGTTTTGCGCAATGCAAAGGCCTTCGTGGTGTGAGCAAAGGCTTTATTCTGCTCTTTAGGAACCCTGTTTTCCAAGACTGTTTCGAAAGCTATCTCTTTTTCCTGGTTCAGATAGTTCCTGGTAGCGTCTCGCTCATCGAGGACCGCAGCGGTTGGACCTTACGGCTGAAATCCAGAGTACAAATGTGGAGCCCACATCCAGCAGGAGGCAACGGAATTTAAACCCTCACTTTTGGTTGTTTTTTTTGTTTTTTCTTCGTTTTTCTTTAATCGCCTCTCAGACCTTCAAATTCATTCTCACCTTCCAAACCGCTCAAATATTTCAAGTTAAGAATAGCTGGAAGGTATGCGCGCAGGTTGTTTTTTTAAGGAGCTTCTAAAATAAGACGCTGCTGCCTCTGCATCTCTCTCAACTGCTCAAAGTAACAGAGGAGGATCATGTGTTGGAGTCCATGAATGACTTCAATATCAACACTCGGAGTCGGTAATCATCGGTGACGATAACTTTTGCTGAATTTGGTGTGGATTAAAGCAGCTTTTTGTGTGCGTAGTACAAAACAAAAACAAGCTAAGAGGGTCATTTCATGTATATTTGCCCCGCCACTTCACTCTGTAGTGTAAAGCTTTGGCCCCTAACCCAGAGCAGACCCTGCCAAGATTGATGGGGTTGTTTTCCAGCCGGAGGTAACTGGAGGTTATGCTCACATCTGTTCTCTGTAATTCAATCACTTGGACAGTCAGCGAGATGGACTCAAGACATACTTCAGCAAACTAAGACCATTTTCTTTCTCTTTTCTTCAAGCCAGTTGCTGTCCTCTACGCATTTCGACTCATTAGCTAATGCCGTGCCTATATTAGCCGTCTCCACAAAGTGAACTCTCCTCATTCTTTGCTGCTTGTAAACAGAGTAATTACAAGGCACTCGAGACCTGGATAGCACCACACACGCTGAGCTCAAACACTGACTAGATGACTTAGCAGGGGCGAAAAAAAGGAAAAGGCGCATGGCATGATAATACAGGACTTGTTGGCCGGGGTTACTAGAGGGCAATGGCCATAACTCCTCTCCCTGTGTGTGTGTGAAAGGAAGTGCGAGTCAGCCAGTGAACGACAGAGCAACACAAGGATCATGTGGCTGCAGTGCGCCGTGTCCACTGCTCAACCCTGAAAAGGAGCAGCACCCAAACCAAGGGGGGCGGACACTGCAGCTCCCTAACAACTGGACTTTCCATCTATCTGCTCTCATTTCCCAAACCCACTGCAACAGGCAAGTCCTCCAGCATCAAAGGAGGCACCATTTGGAAAAATCTCCTTCCATCCAGGCGCCAAAGAGGAGCTGGCGCAATGCATGCGGAGCTGGATGATGAGTGTACGATGTCGGAGTGGGAGGCCATGCTGGAACTGGATGAGGCGCTGGCAGGATGGCTCCTGCGGGGTCCAGCTAGAGGGGAGTGGGGCTGGGAGTGGGGCTGGGCTGCCACGGACCTCCAAGACCCCGAGTGGGACACAGAGGATATTCCCGCTGTAAGTTGGCCACCACTTGTTAACAACAGGCAGAGCGCGAGCAAAAGAGCCGCCGGACTCTCGTTCGCGTTGTCATTCGAACTGGACAAAGCCACAAAATAAGATCAGCAGACAGCTTTGTTCCAGAGTGTGTCTTTACTGTGTGCTGATGCAGGCATAGTTGTGCGGTAATTCCCCAGCACTAAATAAAACCACTGGTCTGGTTTATGAGTCATAGCTGTTGGAATTCTGCTGGAGCGCACAGAGGCCTGTTGTTAAAAGCGATCATCAGGTTACTATGCGAGTGACTTAATATATCAGCAGTGTAGGTGTGTGTTTGGTTGATTGTCGACATGGAGGAAGGTTGGTGCGCGCGTTTTACTTCAGCTGTCAGAGCAGCTTTTTTTTTCTTTCCGTATCTCATGTTTCTCAAAGCAAAAATACTTCTGATGGGACTCAGAGCTTTTCAGCTCTCTTGTTTTTGTTTTTTGCAAGGAATGTGCTTGTTAATTTTTGTACGAACATGTCGTTCTTTTTCCCACCAGCCCTGCTCAGAAGGCATTGATTTAAAAATTATATTTTTTTGTCAGTAAAGCTCCTGTTACTGTACTGGCAGCTATTCTTTCCTGAACAATTTCCTTTTGAAGGGAAGCATCTGGCTCAGGCTCTCAGAGCCCTCCCTTAGCACACATTTGGAAGTTTTAAACATCAAAGGTTCCCACTGCAAATAATCAAGCCTGCGGCAGCCAAGGAAAGCAGAGAGTGGGGTTCATCCTGAAGGATATTTTTCCTATATCTCCCTTTTTTTTTTTTCTTAAGCTTGTTAAACCACAATTTATATTCGCATATTAGCTGTCCTGCCCCTCAACAGCAAACAAAAGCCTCATTGTCAGAAGCATGTTGCTTCCTAACTCAAGCCTGATATCGTAACTCGCACTGTGAATCCCAATTCCTCCTCATGGCAGCATGTGTGTCAAATGATCTGCACCCTGCTGATGTTGTTGAGATTGGCCTTTTAAGCCTTGCTGTTGCTGCGTGTCAGTAACGATGCAGATATCTCGGGCTTCATTCCTCTGCTTGCCATTCACTATATTTCCATTTTCAAGACCTGTCAAAATCCCCCACAGAAAGAAAGGCAGCGTGTGGCTCAATAAGACCCAACATCCTCATCAAAGCTGTGGGTGGTTTTAACAAGGTTTTCTCACACGCTCATAGAAAATATTAACTCTCGGGCCGTGTGGCAGAGACACTTGCGAATGAGCATGAGGACGAGAGTGTGAGTTTGCGAGGCGTTTAGGCGTGTGTACGTGTGTGTGTGCGCGCGTGTGTGTGTGTACGCTATGTTTTTTACTCTGCCTGTCACTGCAGGTGCTGAGCCCGACATACAAGCAGCGCAATGAGGACTTTAGGAAACTCTTCAAGCAGCTCCCCGACACAGAGAGGCTCATTGTGGGTGAGTGGATGGCAAACACACTCTGAGGCCATCTGAGGACTGGCTGGGTGCTCCCAGCTTGTTAGTAATTATAAAAACTATTAATCCCCACTGAAGATAGTGACAGGCAAACGACGATGATTTTAATTGCTTTTAGAATGCGTTTCATTCCTCAATATATCGTCCCATCATCATTCTTTTGAGGATCTAACAACCTAAAGGTGTGCTTGTCCAGCATCGTAAACCGGCACACAGCACAGTAAGCTACACTCCAAGAAAAACTCTGCATCTTTACTTAACCATATGCTGTAAAGGACTTCACATCTAATTGGCATCATTAGAAAACAGAAGTAAAATGAGTTTCCCTGCTTTTTACAGTGCCCTACAAATGTTTATTGATTAAAGAGCATCTCATGAGCACCCTGCACTGTCCACACTGCTAAAACCCTGTTAATGAAAGCAACAATGTGAGTCATCATAAAGTACAAACATTAGATCTCTGTCCCCTCAGAATAGCCACATTTGGTTTTTATTACAGCTCTGCAAACTTCGAGCACAGCAGATGTGGGTTTGTAAGATGGGGCCTGCTGCAGTAGTGTGAGAACCTCTGAGTTTTTTTTTTGTTTTTTTTGTTGCATTAGTTCAAAATACTCCTACTGAATCCTTTGGTTTTACGGTCAGGTGACAAGCTTTCTTCTCCAACAGTTTTCCCATTGTCTAGAGATGTGTTGGGGGATCATCATAAATTTCTTTCTTAAAATGGCAACTGAATTTCGGATTGTTTCTGACTGAAACGTGTTATTCTAAATATCATTTGTTGATCCTGATCCTTTTGAAGCAGTTAAATCACTTTCTGAATAAAGCTTAATTAATCATAGACGCACAGTATTAGTGTAGACTGTAGAGCGTCTTTCAGGTCTAGCATTTTGAATTATAAACCACATTTAGTGTGGCCAGTAATCATGTTTCTTTGTTTGTCTTGCAGACTACTCGTGCGCTCTTCAACGGGACATCCTCCTGCAGGGACGACTCTACCTCTCTGAGAACTGGATCTGTTTCTATAGCAACATCTTCCGCTGGGAAACACTTGTATGGCCATAAACACTGAAACTTTATTGCATTGTTTATCCAAAGTATTGGATCGCATATGAATGCAAATGTGTAACTCTGTGTTTGTGCGCAGCTAACAGTCCGACTAAAGGACATCTGCTCAATGACGAAAGAGAAGACGGCTCGCCTCATTCCCAATGCCATCCAGGTCTGCACAGACACTGAGAAGGTAAGAGAGACAGACCATTCTAGATGTAGGACCTCCTAACAGCTCTGAAAATGTTTTCTAATCCCACTTTAAATTCTGTGTGTTACAAAGGACTGCTGTTGACATGATTAGTGAATTAACCTTTCTTACCAGTAGGGGGAGATGTTCCTGTCAAAACCAAGAGTTTGGGGAATTGTCTGCTAGATGACATGCCCATCAGTGCTAAAATACACAAATAATCTAGGATGACATGGATTTTCACACATAATAAGTTATATCATGTGAAAGTAGAAGAAATATTCTCATGCTGTTTAAAATTCTCCTTACTTTCTGTAGTCATTGCAGTCATAAAAGATTAGCTTTTTTGTTCCCGCAGCACTTCTTCACCTCATTTGGCGCCAGGGACAGGACCTACATGATGATGTTCAGACTGTGGCAGAATGCACTGCTAGACAAGGTAGGCAGGGCAGATCTGTTCGTGTTTTATTTAGTTTATGCTTAAAAAAGTGAAAGCGTGAAATAAAAGTTTACAGATATTCTTTGCTCGTGTGACTATAAAGTTAACGGAATTCCTTGCTTGCTGCATCTGTGCCTTCTGTAGCCACTGTGTCCGAAAGAACTGTGGCACTTTGTTCATCAGTGCTACGGAAACGAGCTCGGCCTTACCAGTGATGACGAGGACTACGTTCCCCCTGATGATGACTTCAACACCATGGGGTGAGGCTGCAGTAGATACTGATGAGATATCAACCTAATTATTATAACAGGGGAAAATATGTCAGCCTATTATAAGCCATACCGTGTGATATCCTCACTGAACCTATTCCTCAGGTTCAGTGAGGAGATTCCCAATGAAGAAAATGAGATCAACAACGACAACTTGACAAAGAACAGCGCGGAGGCCAAGCCTGAGGGGAGCCCTCCTCTGCTGCATAAGAAGGTCGTGTCAAACAGCAACCTCGCGAGCCCTGGCAACCATGACATGCCCATCACAGTAAGCCCCGCACCGCCTTAGCACCAGCACTCCCTGTATTTAAAGGGAGCCATGTTCAGTCAAACGCTCCTCAAGGTTGGAAAAGCTTCCTGGGAAATGCGCCTGACAAGATTTCTCTCTGAAAAATGTGTATGATCAATGCAGCGTCTTTTTCCTTCCCCCAGTTTGAACTCCCAGTGGAGGAATTTGCAGACTGCCTCCCAGATGGTGAGCTGTTGCCTCTGCCTCTGGTGCTGGAGGAGAAGAACCCGACCAGCGGGCCTGGCGGTCCTCTCCCTTCACCGTCACTGGACTTTAACGACAACGAAGACATTCCCACTGAGCTCAGCGACTCCTCAGAAACCCATGACGAGGGTAACGCCACGGGAGAGCCCAAACAGTCAGAGCAGTGTCAAATACACCCACTGGGGAGGGTAATCTGGTATTTGTTCTCTTTGTGTGCACTATAGGTGAGGTACAGGCTTTCCACGAGGATCTGAACGGCAGGCAGCATATCAACGAGGTGTACAAGTTCAGCGTGGACAAGCTCTACGACATCCTTTTCACAGAGTCCCAGTTTATGAGTGACTTCATGGAGCAGAGGCGATTCTCAGGTCCGGGCTGCCGCTGATCCACTCATTTTCTATCTGACCTCCGGGGAAAGGGTGCATATTTAAATAAATAAAAATCTCCTCTCATATTTTCCACGCAGATGTGGTTTACCACCCATGGAAGAAAGAGGAGGCTGGGAACCAGACCAGAGAGATCATGTACACCATCTCTCTGTCCAATCCCCTGGCACCTAAAACAGCCACCGTCACGGAGACACAGGTGAATGCCGCCCCAGCGAGCTTTTTCTGTTCTAAACGGCACACAATTAATCCCCATTTTGCTGCTTTTGATAGACTCTGTACAAAGCCAGTCAGGAGAGCGAGTGTTACATAATTGATGCTGAGGTCATCACACACGATGTGCCCTACCACGATTATTTCTACACGCTCAACCGCTACATGCTCACACGGGTGGCCAAGAATAAGTGCCGATTACGGTGAGATTTTCTTTTCTTTGTTGTGGTTTTTCTTCCAAATTCATAGATCTCAGTCACCTTTATGATGTATTCATGTCAAATTTCTGTTCTTCAGGATATCAACAGAGCTGCGTTACAGGAAACAGCCGTGGGGGCTGGTGAAAGGCTTCATAGAGAAGAACTTCTGGAGTGGGCTTGAAGAGAACTTCCGCCATCTTGGTAAACGCCTGTCTTATATGCCCATTTGGGCTCGATCTAGCTTTTAGCAGTAGTTCCAAAGTGGTGCAACAGATCTAATGTGCACATGCTGATAAAAGCCGCGATGCTAAATCCTGACCTAGTCTCTTGACGGTCTAATATCTCTCTTAGCACAACTATTAAAAAAGCTGATAAAGATCAGAACTAAATTACAAGTAACAACTATTACATGGTGGCACTGAGACAGGTTTCCACTAATTACAAAACAAACAAGCGGTGGAAAAAGGCTGCTGACACTCAGTCACAGCTGACAAGTTAGCGGCTCTCTTAAACCCAGCGTGCAGTTAATTGCTAGATTGCCTGGAGCGTGGGACCAGAGTCAGAGAGGTGAAAGGAAGTCAGGCTAGCAGAGGCCAGATGCAGGCACCAGTCCTGACTGAAGACACAGAGTCCAAAAGTATTATTTACCTCTGGCTGACATGCACAGCCACTAGTAGTTGTAAGGTTTTTATCCCCACTTGTTTTATCGTGTTTGCCAGAAGAGAACTGACTTCAATTTAAGATTGTCTTAAATGAACAAAGCACCCAATTGTTTGCTTGTTTTCAGTCCAGTCCTCCCAGAGAACAGTGATACATATTTGTGACCAAAGCTAATTTCTTTCACTCTCAGAGCTCGAGTTGTCCAAGCTGGAAGAGATACTGACCGAAGCACACCAGCTGTCCCCAAAGGCCAAGGTGGTCAAGAACTCCACAGTCCGGCGGAAGAAGAGGCCGCTTCCGCACATGCGCAGCCAACACCTGGAGGAGGCCCTCAGCCCCGTCACCACACCAACAGACGAGGAAGTGATTCAGAGGATCAAACAAGTGGCAGGCTCCACACAGACCAGACACCAGAGTCCAGAACACCATCACCTGCCGGGAGGCCTGGCTCTGTACAGCGTCTCCAAACTGCTGCTCATCATCAGCTTTGTGTATGTGCCGCACACCCACAAATGAATGTTTTGGTCCTGCATATAGGTTCTGTTTTTTGGGGGGGATAGGATTACAAATTTGACTCATACTGATGCAGCAACTGAGCATGCATACATGGTTATCTGTCTGAGTTACATAATCTCTTTTTTTTTCTCATCAGTTTTTTTCTCTCAAGTTTAACTGTTCTCTCTTCTCCTTCTTCTTCTTCTTTTTCTTCTTCTTCCATCGCTATCACTAGGATCTGTCTCAGGTATATATGCTTTGTGATTAGCCATTAGGGCCAGATGCATGTGTTTCTAAAATATTTCCATTGCTTCATTTATGTACCATGCAGTTAGAGTCGATTGCGAGTTACTAAAATGCAAACCAAAAGCATCATGCATGGCTTCGCTTTTGTCCTGCCTTCCCTCAGCCTGGTCCTGCTGGTGTTCCTCAACATGATGCTTTTCTACAAGCTGTGGATGCTGGAGTATTCTGCACAGTCCTTAACAACTTGGCAAAGTCTTCGGCTTCAGGAGAGGTACACAGGGACAGATTCACATTCCGCATGTTCTTATTACCCACCATCTAAAATGATTGCAATCCAAGATGATTAAAGGAATTAGTAGAACACGAAGACACAAAAACCTCTTCCCAGAAGAGAGGAGTGGGAACAGAGTTCTGCTGCAGTTATTGGCACCAAATGCCGTCTACACAGTTGCACACTCACACCCACTCGCAGACCTACAGCCTAAACCATATCCATATGGGCTTTCACGTGACAGGAAAACACTGAGTTTCTAAAATTACCCCTGAATAGCTCTGGGCTTACTGAAACAATTTACCAAACTGTTTATTGGCAGTCCCTCCAAATGGAAATCATGCTTCAGCGGCTTCACCCTGATGTTGCCAATGTGTGTGTGTGTGTGTGTGTGTGTGTGCTTCCCAGTAAACTGCCTCAGACACAGATGGAGTGGGCCCAGCTCCTGGAGGCGCAGCAGCGTTACCATGACGCCGAGCTGCAGAAGTGGAGAGAAATTATCAAGTCGTCAGTTGTGCTGCTGGACCAGGTACTCGGACACAAAGAGAGGTTTTCAGCAGCTTTCTTTTAGTTCAATCTATTTTCAAGAAAAACACAGACAGAAAGGAACATGTAAACTATATTTCCCTCCTGTTTTTTTAACGTCCCCTGCTCTTTTACTCTAATCGAGTCTACTACTTGACTTTGCTATGTGGCGTTATGTAACCTTCCCGTGCAATCTTTAAGGCATGCAAAGGGGAAAGACTTTAAGTCGAACCAACTGCTTTGCAAGGTTTGTTGAGCTGAAAGTTAATGCCACAGTTTTGGCTCCATACCCTGGTAGCTCATGCTAATCTAATGACTTGCTCTGCACCAGTTTTTGTTCAGCAACAGATTAATCTGCCTTTAAAAGAAGCTCCAGCCTTTCAGTAACTCCTAATAATATTCCAGTTTGCAAAATCAGACTGAAACAACATTTTTTGAGGCAGTCAAGCAGATCAAATTCACTTATGGCCTTCTAAACACATTGAATGTGTGTGCTTGAAAAAAAGCTGGTTCATCTTAGATCTAACAGAAAATAAGCCACAGGAGAATAATTTACATGTCAAAAATATATCAAAATATATTCAAAACTTGATCCAATGTTGACTTTCCTCAATTAAATCTCCAATGAAAATACAATACACCCTTCCAGCGTTTCATATGTGAACTCGTTTCTCAATTAATCTATGCTTTGTAGATTTGTCACCATTTGCTGACAAGTATTTTCTGTACAGCGTTTAAACTTTCTGACTTTTTTTCAATGAAAGAAAACTAAATTCCTCTTATCAGCAAGCCTGACTAGCTGTGATTGTTGCAGCCATCTTGAGAAGACTGCTTGTTAAATGAGCTCTTCATTCCTTGACACCTGCTTCACCCACATTAAAGCGCCACCTAGTGGCTTGACATTCAACCCACCGCTTACCTTTAAACAATTATATTGGACCTAACTAGGTTCTGAAAATGAGTTAATCTAATAGCTGCTGGTAGCTTATTCAATCTATGAAACTTTGATTTAGTTTGAGACTTAGATGTTTCCCATGTTGAAATTTCCATAAGACAGTTTCATGTTGAATGCACTTCTTGTGTATTATTTAAATATGAAGAGCTTTGTATTGCCTAATTCACACGGCTTTTCCAATAGCAGTCATCTCTTGTCTTGACACCTCCCATTAAGACAACAATGTTGTGTTCATGACAGTGTCAGGCAATCTGTGTAATTTGTGTCACACAAGCAAGAAATGACTCATAAAACACTCCTTTATATATAGGAGTGCAGAGCCTGAGGAATAATTCGGTTTATGACTATCAGAGCTGCTGTTTTAGCATGTGTTATCTCTGAACAACAGTCCAGGTTGTGTCTAGCTGTGAGCCCAGTGAGCCAGCTGTGTTGTCTTTGCCGTGCACCCCTATGAGTGGAGCCGACTAATCAAACAACCCTTTTCGTTGGCACAGAAGTGTTTTTGGTGAAGGTCTCCTATGGAAGAGAAAACATTTCCTGGTTCAGAGAATCTGAAAAAAGGAGCTAAATCTCAGACTCTACAGACCTCGGTTGGTTTGTTAATTGTTAAAGTCCTAACAGTACTATAAAAATCTGAAAGTCTGAATAAGTATGGTTTATCAACATGGGTAACCAGAGAAAAGCTGCTTTGAAAATCCAGACCTCAGCCTGAACTAAATGTTATATTGCAACTTTAAACCTGAAAAGATGCCCTTAAGTAAGATGGAGTAGTAAACAAGAGTAGGCCAAAATTCCTTTACAATGATGTGAGAGAGAGATACTGTCACAGTTAAACGATCACCTCAGACCCAAATGTAGTTTGTCATGTTGCGGCCTGGGAAAGGCCGCCTGCATGCAGACTGTAATAAATAAATGTTTTTTTCTTCCTTTGTTTCTCCCCTTCAGATGAAAGACTCTTTGCTGAACCTCCAGCGAGGCATTGGTTTAAGGGACTACACCTCTGAGAGTGAGGAGAAGAGAAGTCGCTATCACTGACAAACCGCAAGGCCATCAGGGCATGCTGTGCAATATAGGACCTGTTTTGTTTGTGAACCAGTATGCAGACATCAGCAGGACAGAGAGGGGACAGAGATGGGAGGTGGGACCAACCTGGACCGGGTCCAAAGACAAAAAGGAGAGGAACAGTAGTTTCCAGCACACAGAGGAGGGAATCATGGATTCAGCCATGAAGCGAGACATCACCACCACCACCGAGGCATTGTGGGAAGGTGCAAGACCTGCTCTTTCTCTCTCCGTGTGGGATAACCGTTTCCTTCTGCTCTCCCTTTTCTAACTGCATCCTACTGTAAGGAAAGGGGGCAGAGAGGAAGAAGGAACTACTGCATGCATGTAGACAACCTAGCTCCCCTCAGTCAGTGTCAATGTGGTCCAGTTCCTGTCTACGTTTTACTCTCTCGACTGTTCCAAACCAATCGTCCCCTAGCGGTCCTCGCTGTAGTGTCCCTTCAATAAACACCCAGGTAACGTGAGAGGACAGTTCAACAGAAGAGAGCGTGTGTTGCAGCTGGGGACCGGCCCCGCCGGTCAGCCCCCGTTGCCTTGTTGGAGGCGGGCCTCCTGTCAGGGCTGGCTCCCTGTCAGGGCCGGCTCTCCCCGCCAGAGCGCTGCGTCCAGACGCGGTCAGCAGAACCAGTGGACTGATAAGACCCGAGCCCACCTTTTTAACCCGGTGAAGCAAATCACACCATCACTCGGTCCAAACCCAGTGTTACCCACCATGCTTTGCATTATTTCTCATCGTTCTGATGAAGTGGAATGTATTAATCTGAGGGGAGAGAAAAAGGCCGATCATTCATCTTTGTAAATGGGGACTCTGCAGCCAGACCAGTAGGGGGGAGACCTGTATTCTTACATGTTTTATTACTAAACTGTGATTATATCTCTTTCAAGTTGTTTCAAATTGGAAAGAATTCTAATAATATATTTGAAATATATAAGAATATTTCATTATTTAATATATATTTCAAAATATATAAACATGACCTATATTTATTGTTAATTTATGTACATACAGAAATTATCAGAGCTCTAGAGAAGTTAAAGAATTTCTAACTAAAAGTGTTTTCTTCTTAGAAATGCATGCCAGATATGTCTGTGACATGTCCAGTGTGCAAGTATGATTCTGCATTCGCGCGATTACATTCGCGCACGTATGTGTGAGTGTGTGTGGGGTGTGTGTGTGTGGACAGTGCGTGCTGGGGAGAATGACATTTTTACCATTCCATACTTGTACGTTTCTTATTTGTCTCCTTTTTTTTTTCTTTTTTTGGCACCTGCAGCCAGACTGCCTTTTATGTTAAATGCTAATGCATTTGGATGCCGCCTTGCATTACTCCCACCAGGGCACAGTTTACAGTCGAAGAGTTTTTGTTCCAAAGTGATGTATCCAACGAGTGCAGATTTATCACCCAAGAAATGAGCGGTTGTTAAATTTGCTAAGATTCAATTTACAGGAAGACGACAAATAACCATTGTCCCTCCTGTTTGACTGATTGAACTGGATACGTAACATTTTGGAAATAAAGCCTTCATTTGCCCTCGATGAGCAGCTCCTTCGGTCTTGTCGCCACTACAGTGGCAGAACTACCCAGGACTATCCTTTTGCTACAAAGGAACCTTTTGATGTTTTGAGAAATGAGCCCTTTTACGTTATCACTGCATGTTGAAAAAGAGGATTGACACTACTTAATAAGAAACTGGGGAATCAGAAAGTCTTGCAAGCTTCCTCATAAGTCGGCCTCTTGCTTCAATATCAAGGCTACCGTTTAACTAAGCTGAACAAAGAAATAAGTTATTTTAAAAGAATTGTATTTCTTAAAAGTTAAATACTATCTCCTCAGCCCAGCTGAAACTTTCCCTCTCCCCTCTTCAGATATCTGTCTTGGATGCAATGGAAAGCATGAGGGAGAAAAAGAACGTTACACAACTAAATTGAACCAAAAGAAAGAAACTGAAATGTAACTTCAGCCTATCACATTATTTTTAAAAGAACTATTTATCATGTATGTCATGTACTATACATACACGCACACACACATACATATATATATATATATAAATGTATTCTGGAGCAGATGCAGTGTAGAGCATCTCTCAAGACCCTTTAAAGCACTTCCAAAATGAGAATTAAAAAAAAACTTCATGCATAAGAAAAGACAAGCACTTTAAGGCCTTTTTCAGGCAGCGGGTGAAAGAAAGAGCGGTTCAGTTTGGGTGCGATTGCAGAGTTGAGAAGATTCTAGGAGATAACACCTTTCAAACTCACTCCAAACTGAGATGATCGTGAGATGCATCCAAAAAACAAAGGCAGCTCCAAACTGCAGTAAGACTCACTGGCACACTTTCATGTCCATTTTTCAGGGCAGGGCAGGAACTAGGGATCTGTATGAGGGACGGGTCTCTTTGCTGTCTACCTGCTGAGGGCTGGCCTCAGAATGGCTGCGTGTCTGCATGCCAGTGTATATTAGATTTGCAGGGGGCCCTCATTGACGATAACGCGCCAAAACCTTAAGACCTGAATGTGAGAAGCTCAAAATGTTTCGCAGGCGTCACTTTCATGATCCCTGATGACACATACAGACGTTAGTGGTAGTGTGAGAATGTCATGTGATTGAAAATACGACTGAAATGCTTTAAGAATTTGTTGTCAAATGTTTGTTTTTTTTTCTTTTCCACACACCTGTATTTTTGTTTCACATTACGTTCTCAGCTTTTAACAAGGAAACGTGAATGAGATGGTTCCACTGACGATGACTTTTTGTGTTTTACGGCATCAGGACTCTCCAAAATTATGCAAATTTACTTTGGAGCTAACTTTTCATTCAACTTGCACAAATCTCAGCTTCAATCTCTTGTTGTTTTTTTCGCTTCCCTTGGTTTTTGGAAGGTTTTTTTTTTTTCTTTTTCTTTATTTTTTCTTCTTTTTTTCATTTAGTTTTATGCTCCTAGCTCACAGTCACAGGCTTAACCCAAGTCACACGATTGATTGTATGGTTGTTCTCGCTGCTCAGCTGAGGAACGAAAGGCCACCCGACAGTTTTGGCTTTTGTCACTGGCAACAGTGGTGTCGTGCGCGTCGTCGACTGAAGCCGTACGCATTTTTTTTACGCTGCCACAGAGTTGGCAAGACTGCAGTGCCAACCATGCAACACAGTGCTAACAGCCTTGTACAAACATACAATTAGGAGTCACTCACATCCTGAGAACAACTGCTGATCAAACTCGTGCAAATGCTCCTCTGAGTGTGTCTTGGGAAGACATGTACTGGTGTAGTTCAGTTCAAGGGAAAAAAAATCTACTGTATGTTTTTTTTTTTTTTTTTTTTTTTTTTGTTTGTTTTTTTTTTTTTTAGAAAATGTTTTAATCTCTAGACTTTTAGTGAAATTTATACACAAAATGAATATACTGTAAGTATACGTTGTGTGTATCTGCAGTGCGCGCACACACACACACACACACACAAAAGAATCCAGCCTGCGCTGCGCGTAGGTTTTTGACTTGCCGATGACTTTGCCTCATAGAGACTGAAGGGAGAAGTGGCTTTCTGGTTCATGTGAAGTAGAGACTGGAGGTATGAATAAAGAAAGAAAAATAAAAACAAACATGGATGACGTCTTCTTATTTTATATTTCTCATGCAGGGGAGTGAGTCAAAGGGCATTTGCTTTTTTGGGACATTTGAAAGTGAACCGCAGAGATTTTCCAGGAAGTCTATTTGTTTCCGTAAATGCTGTGTGGATGACCTCTAGAGACTTTACACAGAAGGTTTTACAGAAGGACAGCATGACGCATCAATATGAATTATTTATTCTGTTCTGCACTTTAGAAAATTAATCTAATCAATAATGCATGTGGACAGTATTGTTATTTTGGGAGCTGAAGTAACCTTCTGCTGTCAGAACAGTCTTCCTTCAGAAGTCTCATGTCTCCCCTATATTTAGTTTCCATTACATTAATTTAGTAATCTCTGTCATTTAAACTCAGAGGAAGAAACAAGTCCTGAAAAATGTTCATACAAGTCAAGGGCTACCACAAAATACATTACTCTAAAAATAAAAAACATTATAATATATGTTAAGCTTCTCAAACTTTCCTTTTAAACTTTATAGACAAACGTAAAGTGTGAAAGTGTTCTGCATCCCCTTTGTATGTGGCCTAATCAATGTGAATTTCACTTCAAATCTGTCCAGACAGAATTCACTCCTGTATTTGTCCACCTCTGATTGGCTCACAGATGGATGGGGTCACCTTCTACCTTCAGTCTCCTCATCCTTTTAACTACAGTTGAAGCAGCAGCAGCAAAAGCTTCCCAAATGCTGTTCAGGCACATTGTTTTCTCCACTAGGCCGCCGGATATCTTCATTAGGATTTAAGTCTCGCAACACACAGACTTGCAGATCACAGCTTTGATGCAGATGACGCTTCTTTTCCTAACATGAAGGTGAGCTGGTGTCCAGACTGCTGTTAAATTATTTCTCCACCGATGCCTGACCAAATGAATCACCTCTTACAAGCTCTTAGAAGGATTGAAATTTGATTTACAGCCCGCGTCCTACCTGAAAGGCTTCATCAGTCGTATCCAGGGTGACAGGGAGACATCTCTGCCCCCTCCTCCACTGGTCAGCGCTGCCCCCTGTGCATCCACGGTCCAGCTCGGGCTCATCCGTCTGTCCTCAGGTATCTGCTGGCCCAATCTTGGCTCTTCAACACAAGTATTGTACCTGGTGATGGGTGTTACACTTACTGAGTGAGCCTACTGTATTTGCAACCAAAATTACATTGATTATTCAATTAAAAAAACTAGAACGTCACATTTAGAATGCACCCTCAAACTGCAATCCCAAGATCTTTTAGCACGTTCTTCATCATTCAGTCATAAAGTATCTGTTATATAAACACTTTCAAATGCCCCATATGCACACAGTCAACAAAAATCAAAAGCCCCTCTATTAAAGCACAGGTCGTTTTTCTAAGCTCTTACTTTTTCTATGTAAGAGATTTTTCTCCAAATCCTTACTTCAAGGGTGTACCAAGCACAGGCATGTGACTTGTATACGACTCTCCATTTCCTATGTTTGTTTTCTTGCCTCCCCCAATAAATTCAGAGTGAGCCAGGGCTGAGTCTGAAGCATAATTATGGCCATAAATCTTTAATCTGTGTGACAGAGCATCCTACAGTGAAAAAGACTGTATTTGTACCAGATTTCTAAGCACTTCACATATCTAGACACTGCACGTTTGTTGTTCAAGTATCCAAAATGTATGTTTATTATAGTGTGTAAGTAACTTTGAGACATATGCAAGTTTATTGAGCAAAGCATCAATAGGAACCCATCCATTCCAGATAAAGTCGAGGTTAATAACAATTTCCCACAAATAAGCCGCACACAAAGCAGCTTCATCTGTTCGGACTGCTTTCTCTCGTGGGCTGTTGTTCCAGCATCCGTGTCAGGCAGATTGTAATTTGACTAAACGCTCCCCGTTTTTACAGCTGTTCCCACCAGCCCTCACCCAGTTGCTGCGCGGTTACGTTCAGTCAGTACTTTCCTCTCCTAGAAATAACCGTCCGCCCCAGAGAAGTCCATTTGTCCCGGGCCAAGATGGGTGAGGTCGACGCGTCACGGTGGTGAATTAAGGGGGATGGGACGCTCGACGCTCACCCCACTTTTTCCTCCGTGGCCGGTCGCAGAGGGCGGAGTTCCGTGGAAGCGTTTGACAGCTGCGAGACAGAAAAATGTGCAGCTCATAGGAGCCAAACCATGCCGCTCCGCCGGAGTGTGGCCCCTTTTTAGCCAGGGACTGGCCTCGTAAATCTGATCCAGCTGGAGAGCGGATGATATAATACGGGCGGATTTGATTAGTTTTTTTTTTTTTTTTTTACTGCGCGTTTGCCGGGATTTTTATTTTTTCGGGTGGGGATGCAGCGCGCCTTTTCCTTCCCGGCGACCGTGGAGCGCAGCCGGACTAAGGAGCGCTTGGAGGCGAGTCTGGCCGGGCTGTGCGAGCTGGAGCTCCGCAGGCAGAGGCAGGAGGCTCTGGTGCTGGGGGCGCTGGCTCTTGGGGACCCTCTGGCCCAGGACGGCTCCAGAGGAGAACTGGCGTGCTTCAGCAGCTGGCCACAGGATGACCTGACGCTGAGGCGTCAGCTGGTAAGAAGTTTAGGACCACAGTCTTTAACTGCATGTTTGGATCCCTGCCACACTTAGACCATATTACCTCACCCCCTTTCTTAACCACTGTCATGCACCACGGTCCTGCATAGTTTTGGAAATCTAATATCCAGCTGCGTATCCTCATTGTGATCTGCTTGACCGTTGGGTGGACTCCTGGTTTGGGCTGCGCCTTTTGTGTGTAGGTGACCTCTAGCTGCAAAAAAAAAAAGTTACTCAACTTGATTAATAGATTCTCCATAAAAGGCTTTAATGCGTTTCTGCGCTTTGGCCTGAGATATATGCCTGTGGATAACGAAATCAGGGGGAGGAGCAGCCGCCGCTTGTGGCACAGACCGACTATTTAATGGCCCATTGTTCCCTCGTCACAGACTTTTGTGGGTTTTAGCACTTAACAAGCTCCCATTTGTGCTTTACCCAGATGATAAAAGAATAAATTACATCTCTAAGTCTTCACTTTTCTGCTGCACCGCGCATTTTTACGTTGTGATCAGATTCCAGATGTTTATTTTCTGGTAAATCCCGATCTGGATATCTTGCAGAGTTGCACCCCACGTCCCACTCTGACGCACTGGTGTCTTGAATAACAGATTAACTCAAAACTGGGTTAATCCAGGCAAACAAAAGTTTCACTGACAGTAGACGGAGTCTCCATCAGGACATTTTGCGCACCAACCCACCGTCTGCGGCGTGTATTTGATCATACAAAGAAAAGTGCGCCTCGGAGTTTCTGTTTGGTTCCTGCTCCTTCGCAGCCACCAAGCAGTCTCAATATTGCCATAAAAAAGAAAGCCATTATTAAAGAGGGTGAGAAAGAAATGAAATCAGCCGCCTCCTCTTCACACCTCCTTCCTCCCTCCCCTGTCCTCTCCTCCCCTCCTCTCCTCCTCTCCTCGGGGGCCAAACAAAAGGCGCATATGGGGCAGAATACTAATGATGGCGCTGGCCTCGGTGATGAGGCGCACATAGGTGGCCTTGTACACTGTCAGGCTGTAGACGGGGTGATGCAACTTTGTGGTTCGGATGAATAATTGCGTTAAAAATAACATCGGTTCTAATTAGTTTGCGGACGACGCATGACAGTCATGTGTTTCCAATGTACTTCACGCACCAGTGGCCCTGGAGGAGCCATCAGCACGCAGACGGCGGAGGGGAAAGCAAATGAACGTTTTCATTTGCGCTCAACGCGCCTCTGCCCGGATCAATGTCTATGAACTGCCCCGTTAATCCGTGCGTGTGAGTGATTACAAGAGGAAACTCCTCGGAGAGTATTTTTTCGCGACACGAATCTAATTGAAGTCTCAGATTGAATCTTTATAATATCCGGTCAACCATCTGCCACGCACCAGACAATCTAAACCTCGTCTACAGCGTGTATGGTGACACAGAAACTGGTGACCCAGTGTGGCTCTGTGCCCTTAAATATGGCCCCCACACCGGCTGAGGGGCCTTCTTCTCCCGGATACAGCGTGTGTATGCGTGTGTGTGTGTGTGTGTGTGTGTATGTGCGTGGCGCTGAAGGTGTTGACAGCTGCGGGACGCCAGACAACAGCTGAGAAAGCATGCATGGGGCTCAGAGTTCCCCAGCATGACAACCCCGCTGGGTGTGGAGCTTGTAGAAGACACTGTATAAGATGTGTAAGACCATGTGACGCACGTGCATCCATATGGGGAAAAAGAGTTGGCTTTTTAATGTTTAATCCCTTGGAAGGAATGAAAATGGACTTAGCGGGGCTGAATGTTTGTTATCATAAGATGGCATGCAGACTCTCTGCAGGACGGTGCCATTGTTGGTCCTGCGTGTCTTTGTGTTGACGCAGAGGAGCGTTATTAGAGATCCTCTGCATGAATCACTGGCTTTGGGACACAAGCGGAAATCTCCAACTTTTCCCCGTCTCTTTGGCTCCTCTGTGTAGATTCCAGCAAATGAGCCTCAGCTGAGACGTATATATAAATCATATGTCCATTGAAATAACTGGAAATGAACTCTGAGCTAGTTCCACGTCTCTCAGTCACATGAAAACAGCCCGCTGCACGTCTATTTAAGGATTCTTTTCAACTCAGCCTGCTTCCAGCGAGCCACTGTGGGACGGAGTCAAGAGTGTACTTATGAGTGCCATTCACTGGGGTTATGTAAACACTGAGTGTGCAACAAGAGCTCCTCTGTCCGACTGGACCAAAGGAATCATAAAAGAAATATTTATCCTGTGAAAATAGGACATTTCAAATGCGTCCGTTTGCTTGAGGAAATAAGAGATCAGTTGTGTCGAGTGGTGGAACGGGGGGCAGGGTGTCTTGTGAATATGTCTGTGTGTGTGTATCCGGCCTCCCACAGACTTCTTCTCTGTGTGGATCCAGTCACAACATTGCTTTAATTATGTAGGGTCGAGCATGTGTGGCTGCTTGCCTTGTCTTCCCTGCTCCTTGGATTTCTGTATTCCAGCAGTGTTGTTCCTGAGCTGTTCCAGCTGTCAAACGGTTCAAGGTTTATTCTACGATCCTTTCCCAAAACAGACGTTTTCTCTCAGTCCTGCAAAAACCCTATGTGTGTGTGGCTTTATAGCGTGTCTTAACATATATACTGATTAGACAGCCCACTTTTGTCCGTCTCCTAGCTCGAAAAGGTACTGTTTTCTACCCCTCTCATGCTGAGGGGGCCTAAAAGTGACGTAAAACATTAACTCACTATTTCTTTTAAGCCACAATGTGCTTCTGATCTCGTTGTGCTGCGTTTAAATGCAGGTGGCCCTCATGTTTTGTCCACCCACTGTGTAACGGCTCCACGGCTAAGTGAGTGTGCCTGCACCGTGTCCACAGTCTCCCCCATCCCCCACCAACGTGGGGCCCAGGATGCAGATAAAAAATGGAAAAGACGAGCGGCTGTACAGTGAACACACCGTCACGGAACAACTGACCGTGTGACTCACAGACGCAGAGCGCAGCCTGCAAACTGAACCGCGCTGCGGGATGGGTCGGCTGGTTTGCTCATCCTCACAGATATGTTTGCTTTCCGCCAGGCCTTCATTCAATCACCAGCATGATCCCACCTAAGTGTATCCCCTGTTTGTGCGCACGTGTCCGACAAAGAGGCGGTGCGCGATCGATTGCCTGAAACGGCATCATTGATTAGCTGATTTCCAATAGTCTCCCATCCTCCAAGCTCAGCCCTCACCCCACCACACCACACCGCCAGCCGCTGAAACAAAGCTCCCCACTCACAACATTTTGACGCTTTGATTCTGCTGCTTTGTTTACAGTACGACAATAAGCAGGCTTGGTGAGACAAAAGAGAGCACGGGGTGAAGAGGCCAAGCTTGGATTCCATTCAACAGCAGATATTTGCATTATGACTACATGTAGGACACAACAGAGGAGGGGTTTGGGGGGGATCTGGAATGGGAGCAGCTATTTCCATGGACCATAAGTCTGAATATAACTTCTCTGCGCTCCATGCGATCCTTGTTGAGACCTGTGACCAGGAAGGAGATCAGCGTTTGTATAAATTCCACAGATTTTTTAGTCTGGACCAAAACAAGTGAACGAGGTTGACCGTCTGACTGCGGAGGGAAAAAAGAGACAGCTTTCCCCTGATGTGATTAATGAGCTCTAACATGATTTCTCATCAGCTGCGCTGCTCGCCACAGAGCTGGTGTACATTCCTATAGGCGGTGTTTGATTTGGCACGGAGACACAAAAGCAACGTTCAGGGAAGTGCAGGAGGCCGTTTGCAGTAGTTGTCAAACAGGCGTTGCATCACAAAGCATTTGTGATGCAAAAAGGGGGGAAAAAATTTCCCCTTCTCACGAGGACATGCTCCATCTTCTGGTAATGAGGTATCCTTAATGAGGCGGTATGGCCTCCAACTAACTGCAGCACATTGGTGTGTGTGTGAGTGTGAGTGTGCGTGTGCTTGTGTGTGTGTGAGTGTGGAAGGTGTTCCCTATGTTGTGAGGACCTTAGTCTGTTAACACAGCCACATGATAAGGATATTTCCACTTTGGAGGGACAGCAGAAAAGCCTGTTTAACATAAATCTTTAAATAGTGCTGTGTAGATGGCAGATAGATACATAGATAAGGTGAGTGCAAAGGTCATTTAATCAAAGAGGCAGTTGCAGTAAAGGTCAATGTTTCCGTTATTTCCCTCTGAAGCCATGGAGAGACTGTGTGTGTTTTAATTAAATTGCCTATGCCTATTTGTGTGTATGGAAGGACTATATAATGTAAATAAGATCAAATGAAGATTAATCTTTTTCTTTTATCAGGTTTGTACGTATTTGTATTTGCCTGTTTGCATGAGTCAGCATATTTGTCTGTGCATCAGGATCAGATTTATCTGCATCTGTGTGTGCCCCCCAGCTATATGGAAAAAACATCCCCCTTCCCCTTCATGCAGCCTTAAATTATTCATTGCCCAACTGACTGCTTCCCACTGGTGTGCGCTGGCATGTTGTGGCCCGGCGACGGATGCGGGGCTCAGTAATGCACCGCATCGGCCAGCCACGGCCACATTTATGTTTTAGTTACACGTTCACAGAACATCAGAGTTTTTTTTTCATGCATTTTTGACAGTTTCCTTAATCCAGATGTGGGCCGACTAAATGCAATGACAGCTAATCTGTGGCATTAGTAACCTGAACCTGGCATAACAGGATTTACATACACGTGTCACACTAAATAAGAGCTGCAGCTGGAACATACAGCTGTGCCTCCTGCAAACAGCTTTCCTGGAAATGGGTAATTCCATCACGAGCACCGTTTGGACTTTTTCCCTTTGTTGTCGGGATCAGTAATTGATGCCACTTTAAGTCCACTTAAAGTTGTATTATCAGCAGCGCTATCGCATGCAGAGAGCAGGAAAACATCTGAGCCTGTTTGCTTTTCAGAGCGCTCTTCAGAGTTCTCCTCGCGGCCCGATGCAGACGCTGGAACAGCAGGTGGGAGAACTGAAGATTGACACCGATGACAGCTTCTGTGACGGAGCTCAAGGAGACCCCGGTGACAGTCGGCCGAGTTCTGGTACTCCCGCTGTTTAAAAGCTTTCCTTTCAGCACGACTCTGTCAGGCGTGTAATTAAGAGTTTTCTGAATAGAAATGCACTTAGTTATTCATTCTCACTCAGCAATTCAACTAATATATATATGTGTATAACACTGTTGCTTTCACAATGCAACGTAGAATGCTCTACTGTGATGAGTTTGTCTTTTATCTGCACTATTTTGTTCATGCTCTAGTTAATTTGGCTTTGTGGCTTTTTTTCTGAGGTAATGTTAAGAGACTGCCTGCGTGGAACGGGATATTTTTAGAGAACTGGGACCTTTGAGTGTGACGAATCATCATTCATGACATCTCTCCTCTGGCTCTCTGATTTCAATTTGTTCCAGGTTTTTGCGAATCAAGTGAAGGTCAGTCGCCAAAAGGAAAATCTTCCTCTGCTGAGCCCCCAGAGGTGGTCTCATCCTGGGCTTACACAAATGACAGGTCCAAGTCTGCAGGTAGGAAACACAAGCTAATCAGAAGAGATTACAACTTCCTATTTTTTAACTTCAGAAACAGGATTAATCTATGTAAATGAGAGGAATTCAAACAGCCTTTGATTTCAATTTCACTATGGACCACAAAAATGTTGTCTTTCTAGCTTTAAAGCCCTGGGAAAGATGGACAAAGACTTGTGACACAAATAGGAAAAAAAATTCTAAAAATTGGGATATTTTGTCAAGTGTTCATATTAACAGAATGCAGTGAGTTGAAAATGCCATAAACCAATCACTTATTTTCAAGAGAACACGAAGAGCATATAAAACAGACAAAGTTAGACATGTTACAGTTCACATAAACCTATCTGTTGGTGTTAATTCTTCTCCAGATGTGAAGGTTCCAGGTTACCTAAGCAGTCTGTTACTTGAACTTATCAGTAATAATCAGTTGGGAAGTCCTTCAGCTCATGGGTTCAAAAGTTGGATCGTATAAGATTTCCTGATAGAGTTTCAAGTTTGGATTCACAGTTCGAATGCTAACTTTTCTGGTCACGGAACAGTTTGCTTCAGTCCATTTTAAATGAGATCTGGGACAGAAGAGACTCCAGTCAGTCACTCTTTTTTTTTCTTTGCAATAGAGATGTTGAACTGTGATCCAGAACCTTTCAATACTCAGACTTAACTATTTATACTGAGGATCATTATTCTGAATTTTGTTTTCCAAACTGGTTGGTGCAGACCAGTTTTCAGATTGCACACCCTCTTTTTTCTACCCTGAGGCATTATGCCCCTCTAGGATACTCTTTTTATACCCAGTTGCTGGCGTGTTTACAATCAGTTTCATTTGTTACAAGTTATTCCAGATGTTTCTTTATAGTTTCCTGCATTTTATTGCCCCATCACAACGTTTTTTACATTTTAGGTAAATTGCTATCATCAAAACCAAAATGAAACACTATTCCTTTGACATTTCTCAATAATTGGAATTTATTTTATGGCATTTGAAAAAAATGTGATTGTTTTTTCAGTTACAGCATAGACACTATCCAAAATTCTTTTGCCCCAATCAGAGGCTTTTTTATTCAACTGACTGTAAAGGCTTCTAACTACCAGCAAAGTTAAGAGTCCAGTGTGTGAGATCTGATGACATCTGGTGGTGACGTTTGTAGACTGCAACTCCTGCCCCTAAATGACAAAAAAAGATTTTGAAGCATATAAAAAATGATTGAATAGAGAAAATGACTATGACAAAAATAAGCCATGCTAGAGATGAGACTACTGTTAAAAGTTGGGTCGTTTGTCCATTAAACAAATTAAGAAAGGCAAATTAATATGTCAAAGTAAAATTAAATAAGTGCCTGTTGATTTAAAAAAAAAAAGGAAAACAGCCTCTGAAATAACTACTTTTGTCTGTAGTTTTTTTTTGGATAATGATATTACACTTTTTATTGTTATCAATATACTTCTTTTACACTGCATTGTTGCCTTAGGCCAGTGTCGTTTTCTGTATCCAGGAGAGCCCCTCGTGCTGAATGGGGACTTTGAGGTGCCGGTTCTGCGGCCTATGCTGCCCCGCTCCTTCTCTGCCCCTCACCCGCCTCTGGAGGGGATCATAGAGGAGGGCCCGGCTGTGGACTCCTGCCAGTGGGAGTCCTGCCAGTGGGACGCCTATGCGCCCGGCCACGCCTGGCCGCAGCAGCCCGCCGAGGACCAGGTCACCGAGGAGGAGTACCAGCATGCTCTGCGGGTAGAGGGTTACATCATGGGCCTCATCCATCGCCACACCCTCTCCCCCCGGCCGTGTCAGCCTCGCACCACCCTCAGCCCTGACCCCCAGTACCCAGCCGCTTCTGGACACGGCTCCCAACACAGGAGAACTCCCTCTCTCACGGCAGAGCAACGCCTTCCTGACCCCCACCTTCAGTCCCATGTTGACCAATTGACAAACCCTAAGAGCCAGGGATGGGGTGGTGACCTGCCGGAGGGGGAGTCTGGCAGGGGGGACCCCCCATCTTTTGAGAAAGACTGTTACTCGCAGCTGCCCTTCCCCCAGTCCAGGCCGCACTCTCTGGCTGGGAGGCAGCCGTCACCTCTGCCCTCCATGGACCCGGGCAGTGCCGTCGGGGCTCTTGACCTTTGCTGCGACTCCCCATCCCCCCAGCATTATCTCCATCCGCAACCCCCTATCCCTCAAATGCACAGTTTAGTAAGCGCTCAGTACATACCCGGGCAAGCCTGTCACGCTCCCGTGCGCTCTCCCCGACACTACAAACCGGAGCAGCCGAAGCCCGCCCGGGCCGCCGCCTCCTCTGATCACCCCAACGCCAACCCCAAGTCCCGCGCATCCAAAAAAACCCACAATGACCGGCAGCGAGCCAAGAAGGCGAGCGGCAAAACCAGTCGATCCCAGTCTGAAAACAGCCTCCTGGGGCAGCGAGTGCTCCCCGAAAGGAGGTACAGCACCACAGAGAGGCGCCAGGGCAGAGCCAATCCCGCGCCGGGCCAAAGCCAGGTGGCCGGGGCCCACGCGGGGCACGCCGCCCACAACGGGAGCCGCCGCTGGTGCTCCAACCTGGAGCTGAGCCAGGATGAGGGCGAGGCCCAGGCGGCGCAGGTCCAGAAACGGCCGCCTCGAAAAGCCCGGCACGGCCACCCCTGCTCGCATTCCCAGCCGCAGCCGCCGGCCCAGCGCTGGCCCCCGGACGCCCAGGGCAGAGCGCCCCTCTGCCACGGGGAGGAGGCCTACGCGGCGGCCGCCCCCGCCGAGTCCGAGTCCAGCATGAGCGAGGTGTACTCCCCGGCCTCCAGCTCGCTGTCCAGCGACTCGGACGAGAGCGGGGGCCTGGTGTGGCCGCAGCAGCTGCCCCCCCGCCTGGCCTCCACCTCGTCCTCGTCCTCCCCCTCGCCCCAGGCCGCCGCCAACGTCCCGTCTCAGCCGAAGGCTTTCGTCAAGATCAAAGCCTCCCACGCTCTCAAAAAGAAGATTCTGAGATTCCGCACAGGGTCCCTCAAAGTCATGACCACCGTCTGAGCAAATAACGGCGCCTGTTTTAAATCTATGCAGTAGCTGGGAACTGAAAGCTTTTGCAGAGCAGCCATTTGGCGGTTACTTTTGGTTTCAAATCATTTGCCAAACAGCAGATCTTCTTCGTAATCAACCTACCTCTACAAAACAACATGTTCCTAATGAGATGCGTTACCATCAGTAAGCAAGATGAGTTGGAGATGCTTTATCTGGAGCGTCTGGTTAAACTTTTCTTGCAAGTGTCAAACCTGAGTCGATGGACTAAGAAGGATCACCCAGCTCTGATGATGAGAACTGATACCAAGTAAGACTTTGATGACATGAACTGCATCACAGATGAGGGACTGAATTTGCTGCCAACTTTTGTGGATGTCTGTTGCCTTTAAGGTTAATTCATCACTGGGCTGTGGAGATGGCCATAAAAAAGTGATAACACTGATATTTCACCAGGTTTCCCACCATTTCTGAGTCATAAGTGCTTTTCTGTTTTGTTTTTTGTTTTTGTTTTTTTAAGGTTTGTTTGTTTTTCACATATTCAGAGCTTCCCTATATGTTTGCATGGATTTTTCCATTAATTATCTATGTTACTTGGTACCATTCAGACAAATACAGAAGGGCTTTGGGGAGCGGCTTTTCTCCCCTGTGAAGGAATATCCATTTATCATAGCAGATATACTTCTGTAAACCTTAAATAACAAATAATTATTGGAAATCCCTTTGAATTCTCATGCAGTAGAATTATTCAATTATGGTGAAACTGAAACCCATTTGAGAGCACTAATTTAAAGGAGCAGTTATCTGTGATGCAGCGAGCTAACAGCCTCGTGTAAAGAAAATAAATAAATAAACAAATATTCACTTGCATTTTGTTTCAACAGGCTGAAAGTTTACAGACTGGTTGTGAATCTTTAGAAAGCAGGGAGTGGCTCAAGTGACCATCAGTGAGGTGGCATCTGTGAGGTAGGGTGGGTTCTACGGAAACCTTGCTAATGGATCAGTATACAGCGCAGCACGTGTGTAGACGGTATAACTAAGTTGTGAAACACAGGGACTCTCAAACTCACTGCATATAAGATTGTTTTTGTATGCACCATTTTGTGGCCTTGTTTTGAATGAATGTAGTATGTAAATAGCAATGAATATCCTCTCCGTTTTGTTACTTTAATACATATTTTATTATATTTTGTTTGTTCTTTAAATGAAACATGTTCTTTTTTTTTCATAAACAAGCCGACACTTGCCTGTTCTCCCAATATGCAGGTTCTGTCATACTCCACCTTCTTCCCGACATACAAAAAAGCATGAATGTCAGGTTAATTGGTGACTCTAAATTGCCCCTATAAACGGACCTGAATGTGTGTGGTTGTTGTATCTTTGTGGCCCTCCGTTAGATTTGCGACTTGTCCGAGGTGTACCCCGCCTTTCACCCCATGTCAGTTGGGAAAGGCTCCAGCATCCCTGCATACATGCTTGGAATAAGTGGAAAACATAGCAGATGGCTGGATGGAAGATGATACAAGTTTTCAGGCAATATTTGTGACATGCTTTTGCCAAATCATACTTAGGCTTAAGTCACGCACTGACTGGTCAGTAGATTAATGCAGCAGTCATTGATGACAGGTAACTCTACATTTCCATAAATCCTACGGTTTGTGGTCGCCCCATCCCAAAGTCATTAGCGGCAACCTGTTAAGAGCCCTTGCTGAAATGCCCTTTCTTTTGTCAAAGTCTGCTCTTTTAACAGCAGAACACTGAATTAGAAGTCAGATTTCTTATTTCTCATTCGACAAAATAAAAACAGTGCCAAAGAAATCTAACAAAAAAATACTGCTTTATAAGCAGTATTAGACTTTTTCTATCTGAACTGAGCAATTTGAATCTGATGGTAATCTCTTGATAACAATAAAGTTAAGCAGGAAAAACAGTTGTAAATTCCCACTTCCATTTTACAGTGAACATAACAGATTTTGGCTTTGACGTAGGGAGGAGATAAAAATGAGGAGGCTGGAAAATTCCCTTGGATCCAAGATAAATCTGTAGGAGATGTTACTAAATTAGACATTTTTATGTTCAAACACCCGACCCCCGCAAAAAAAAAAAAATCCTGGGTTGATCTTGCAGAGATTTCCGGTTAGCAGTGACTTCAGACACCCAAATATATCCTTTGTTTGTTTCGGTGTCACGTTTTAGAAGCGCTAAATGACATTTACATTTCATTCACATGTTAAGTGTTGGTGCATTTATTTTGACAAATTAAAGCTGTGTCTTAATGCTCAGATATCCTGTTAAATCTCTTCTGTCATTTGTGTCCTTACCCCTTTTTTTTTTTAAACCAGGCTATGAGTCCTTTAAGAATCTAAGTCAGATTTTTTTTTTGTCGGATACAAATATTAAGCAAGTCCCATCCAAGTGTTCACATTGAAAACAACTGCATTAAGGAGTCTGACATTTTCTTTTTAATCTTGCAATTTAGAATATGACAAAGATTAAAAACATTTAAACAGGCACTGGCATTTTAATATTGGAACTGGTCCTTTCTCAAATAAGACAGTTTAATATCTCACAACTTAAAAAGAAAAAGGGGGGAAGCCATTTTAAAAAAGCGTATCTGTGAGAGGGAGATCGAACGTGTCTCCCTCTCCGAACTCATGAAAAGACCTGCTGCAGATATGACTCAATATTCTTTCGACACTGCAGTTTTGACCAGGATATGACAAATACCATAGTTTGTCAAAACAGTCATATACATTACAACACAATAACTATATTTTACAGAACGAATATAAATTGTATAAATCCAACGGCAAGAGATTCTCAGTAAAAAAAAAAAAAGACAAATTGTCTTGCGATTTTAGAATTAGGATTCATTCTTAATCGCAATGCTGCAGATTGAGCAGTAGTTCCTGATCCGCAGTGCTTGTTAGTCCCAACGGGTCACAAAACGTGACTTGTGTCTTTGCAGAAGTCCGGAGTGATGACATAAACCACACCTCAAGTTAAGCTCAACCGACTGCTGAATTTCACTCACAATACTGTTACATTTTGGCTATAATTACTCACTTTAGCATTGTAGGCCATTACAAAATCCATGTAAATGACTGATTGTCTTATTCCTTTTAGAACTATACTTTTGTGTTAAACTCTCAGGCTCTCTCTTTGCTGCAGTAGATACACGTCTCTAAGGTCAACATCCACACACACAAACTTTGTTATCCCATTCCAATGTCATCACGAAGTAGGAGCTGGCCTGTTCATGTCAGAGGTAACACTCGGTTGTGTCCAGTCCACCTTTCTTAGCAGGCCTGGCCCAGAAGATAAATAATAAATGTCATATTTGTACTCTTGATCTACTCTGGTTTATTCTCACGTTTCCAACTAAAGAATTGGGCTAACAATGCAAAACTAACTTTTTTTTTCTAAAATATTTCTATTATACTATTGTTTTGGACACTTTAAACAAAGCTCATTTAGATTTGAGTCATCTCCTTCCCAGTGTTGCTGCTTTTGGTGTCGGTGTTGGTGTTGGTGATGGTGACGGTGGCTCTGCTGTTCGGATCCTCGCTGATGAAGTTGAGGATGTTGCGCACGGAGCGGCTCATGCTGTCCTTGAAGCCTCGGCCCAGGCACACGTAGAGCAGCGGGTTGAGGCAGCTGTTGAAATAAGCCAGGCACAGCGCCAGGACGTGCGCGTGGTAAACGCTGGGGGCGTGGGGGGCGCTCCGGGGTGTGGTCAAATCGATGGCGTCCAGGATGTGCAGGGGGAGCCAGCACAGGAAGAAGCTCAGTATCACGGCCACGATGACCCTCAGGGTCCGCTTGGAGCGGGAGCGGCCTCGTGTGAGTCCCTTCTGTGTGGTCCTGTACACCAGAATGTGGCATACGACGATGGCCAGGAAGGGGAGCATGAATCCCACCAGGAAGCGCAGGAAGTACAGGGGCCAAACATTCGTTCTGGTGTACCCCATCTGGCACTCTCTCTTGACCTCACCTCGTCCATACTCTTTGGCAAAGATAAACTGCGGCAGGCTGCCGATCAGAGCCGCGCCCCACACAGCCACGCACCCGAACACGGCGTGTCTGGGTCGCCTGTTGTTCTGACACCACACGGGCTTGGTGACCAGCATGACGCGATCCACGCTGATCAGAACCAGCTGCAGGATGCTGCAGTACATCACCAAGTGGAACAGACCTTTGACCAGCTTGCAGGCCAGTGGGCCGAAGTGCCAGTGGTCATCGTGGGCCAGGGGGATCATGAGGAGAGGGACGGAGAGGCAGCAGAGCAGATCCGCCAGCGCCAGGTTAAGGAACCAGAGGGAGGTGACGGAGCGGCGCATGCAGAAGCCCGTCACCCACACCACCACGGCGTTCCCGGGGACCCCCAGGAGCGTCACCAGCCCGTACAGGACAAGGGCCACAATCTGGATGGGTTGGATCTCAGGAGTCAAGATCTCAGGAAGTACAGGCAGGGTGTAATTAAAGTCATAGTCCGAAAAGTTCAAAGTTGAGAAATCCATGCTTGGTTAAAGCTGTTGATGTACACAAAACGCATAGGCTGGAAAAGAGTAAAGAGGTGCAAAAAATCATAGATCAAAAACAGCCCAGTGACAGTTTCACTAAGCCTTTCTTCTTAAGATTAAAATAAACAAGCAAACACATATGTGATTTTTAGATAGCCTCGTTTGTCAAAGAGATATCATTTCAACTTACCCTCTCTTGATTCCGCACCCTCACTGTTAAAGGGTAGTGATGGAGCTGTTTGCTTTTGCTTGTTTTAACCCCCTCCGACCCTTAACGCGTACACCCACAGAGAGAGAAAAAGGTAGACTAACTCAAGATTGCGCAGCTATTCGTGAAGCAGCGCATTGCTGATTCATTGTGAACAGCCCAGGCCAGCCTCCAGCTTCCTTTGCCGTCTCTCAAATGGTCCGACCCTCCTTCTTAGAGCACCCTGTTCCTCTCTCCCCGTCATGCAGCCGCTGACCAAACCTCTGCTAAGTTGTATTATGTTTATTGGCGAGGCTCTTGGAAGTGTCTCAAACATGGATGTGTTACACATTTCTACACTTTCACCACTCAGTACTGATTATGTGCCGCACAGTGGTTGTTTGCACTCTTGTATCCCATCAGGAGGGTTCCTGGTTCAATTTTCAGTTTGGGACATTTCTGTTTGAATGTTCTATGTTTGAATGTGTAAGTTCTCTCCAACTAGTTTGTGTGGCCCTGTGATGTACTGGCGACCCGTCCCGGTTTTACTTTGCTTCTCACCCGACAACAGCAAGGACAGGTTCCAGATAGGCTCCGAATATACGTACATAGTATGTGTATTCAAGATATGCTAGTAATGACTGTCAGACCCATTTGGAAGTGTGTACCATTTGGTCCATGTGGAATGAAGCAGTGCATTCACGATTAACTTAATTTTTTACTTTTAAAAGATGTCTTTACTGTTATTACTAGTGAAGTTAATGCATACGCCGATGTTTTTGAGTTGCTTACAACACTTATTTCCAAACCCAAAAGTGGCAGTAAATGTTGACAGACAAGAGAGGCACACTTCCACAGAAATACACTTGGTATCCTTAATGGTTTTAGGTGATTATGTTCGTGTTCAAATTAAGGTCATTTCGATACATTTAGGTGCTATTGCACAACATGGAAGATAGATAATGAGAGAGTACTCTAGAGGAATTTTCTTGTCTTACACCTGCTATTTTACTATTCCAGTAACATCTTTATTATCTGTTCTGATCTCATGCTGTGCTGCTACAGCTTCCTTCCCATGAGAGCTTTGCGGTTGATTATTTTATCCTAAACAGCACTTTGTGAGAACCAAATATATCTGCAGTCGCTTCTTCCTTATCAGCTCAGAATATCAGTAGAAACTGCTTTTGTGGACGGCTTTAATCTGTACTTTTAAGTAGTGGAGAGGTGCAGGTGTTTGAAGCCAATGAAAGCACATCTGAATAAGAGTAAAAAGCAAAGCTGAAATAAATTTATCAAAGAGAGATTAAGATTTTTTTAAACATGAAATAAAAACAGCCCTCAAGAACAACTAAATCATAAATGGTGGTAACAATTGCTTTATTTCCTGATTTAGTCATTGTTTTAATGGGATTCCATTTCAAAATCAGCACTCACACTGAATTTCAGTCAAACAGCTGCATTTCCCATCAGGCATTGCCTGTTGTTAAGACTTTTGTCCCCCTTTGTGGTTCACCGAGGCTGTGATGTAACTGTCAACCAATAAGCACTGCAACCTTGAGGAACAAGCTCTTTAGTGAGCATTCACATGATGCCTTATGGGAGGAATTTGTTTTTTAATCCAATGAACGGCATCCCTTGAGAGCAGAATAGGGTGTCAGTCCAGAGAAAAGAGGATGTGTTTGATTGTGCTTTGATAAAAACTACATACTGAAGGGACAACCGGGTAAATGCTGAGGTCTAAATTGTGGCTTTTCCATCAGTACCTACTCAGCCCCTACTGGATTCTACTTGCCACACCATGGCTCGGTTTAAGTAGTTTTCCATTACAAGCACAGGACAACAATGAAAGACATTCTGATGCTATTCTCCTGAGCGGGGTTCATGCGTTAGGAATTTACAACAGAGAAAATGAAATCGGACTTTTGTTTTCACCGCATTTCTAAAACAGGTGGGCTCTCGAGAAGGCATCAGTTTCATGACTCATCCAGTCATGTGATTCCCTGGCCAATCGGTGGTCGGCAGTCTGCCGTCGGCCCGACTCAGCTTTCTTGGAACCTTGGCCCGAATAACTGCTTAAACGAACTGTAATGAGGCCCCAACCTTTAATGGAAAAGTAAAAGAACCAAGTAGAGTCAAATCAAGCCGTGCTGAGTGGGTACTAGTGGAAAATCTTCACAAGGCATAAAAAAAAAACACGGACCGAAGTCTGTGTTACACACAGAGATGATGATAACAGATGCCAAACAGGAGCACCAGAGGGAAAGGCAGCTGTTGTGACAGGGTGTCCTCTTTTCTTAGTCTGATGGCATCAGTGCGTTTTCTAAAACTTCGGAGATACCAAGGGAAATGAAACAAAGACCTGCTGCGTCAGCAGAATGTTCCCTAAACGTTTAAAGAAAAAGAAAAAACAGTGTTGCTTAAATCACAGATGTCAGCACAAAGACCTTTTTTTTACCATTCGTTTGAGCGTGTTCATATTCTTATCGGTACCAGCAATGTATGGGCCAGAACAGAAATGTCCTTTTCTTTGTGGCGTGTACCCAAGTGTAATGTTTCATAATACTGTTGCCACAGTTCATGCCAGGATGTTTCTTCACAGGATTGGCAGAGACGGCGGTTTCTCAGAGGCGAGGTTAATTGAAGGCCGGAGCGCTGCTTGGTGGAAGTGTTGGAGTGTCGTCTCTGAATGCATCAGACTGGAGGTCTGCAGTAAAACAATGAGAGGTGTTCAATCGTTCCGCATCAATTGGTATAACACTCATAGTTTTGGGGTTAGACAGCATTTCTAAAAAGGCCGGAAATGTGTAACTGGTGGAACAACGTTGACCAGTAATATTCTAAAAGTTTAATAAAACTACTACTACTCTGCTAGTTATGTTCTGATTGGCATTTTTCTTATTTTTTACATTTTACACATACGTTTCTCCACCCAAGAAACCCCATTTTCCGAAAAACAACACCTTGGAAAACGTTAATTTAACAGAACACATTGCAATTTGACTCCAAAGTCTATGCACGGTATTTTATTAATAAAAACTTCAGGATTTTCTTTATCTGCTTTGCTGCAAGTCCATTCAGATGTATTCAAAAATGGAATACATGCTTTCAGAGATTTTACATTCTCTGTTGGCCTTCCCCCTTGTCTGCTATGTAGTCTTTTTATTTAGGACTCACCCTTGCTGGTTAAGTATTCATTCATCCATTCATTTGTTTGAGAAATAAGAGGGCCTACTGAAAAGCAATGGGGAATCGGGTATTTTTGGTGTTTGTTTTTTCATCTGAAACAACTCCAATGTCAAATTGTTCACAGCAGTTTGAGTCATTATTGGATTTTCCCGCAGTATCCTTCGCATGGACTGACAGACGGTAACACAGTCCATGTTACCACACAGTGTCACAACCAAAACCACTGGTCAGTTGTTACACAGGCTTCCTGCGGTTGAGAACCTGGTACTACTAAATCTTTTAATTTTTTGTGATGAGAGTTGCTATAGATGGGGGTTTTTTTTTAATGACTTGTCTTCCTTCCCCCCTCCGTGTGACGTTCTTGGCATTGTTATTTTGGAAATGGGCTCATGCAATGATACACAAGCCCTGCTATGGCCTTAAGATCGTAGTAACTAATAATTTGCAGCACATTTTAAGGGTTCACCCTTTCAGCAGCCAAATGGAGGTATATTTGTAATTTACTTTCGGACTGAAGGGTCTTCACGTACCTATGACAGGATGTAGCTCTTTTTTTTTATTTTTATGATGACTAATTTTAGGAGAGGCAGTAAGAAGAGAGTAGCCATTATTTACACCTTTCTATGTCTTCTTTAAACTTAACAAAGACATACATTTGCTCTTTGTCCCTGGAGTAGATCTAGACAGCAAACTCAAACTGCAAGCTCTGTAATCTCTTGGTTTTGCAGAGTTTGTATTTAAGAAGCATTAAAGGGGAGAGCAGTGTGATGTGGCTGCAAAGCTGCTTGATGCACAGCCAAAACTGCCTCTACTGTTCAGAATCAAGATCTTCATTGGTCTGTGCACATAGTAGCAGAAATCACAAACGAAGGTCCCTCTCATCTCTCCCCTGATAGAGGGGCTGAATGTAGGCCCTTTAGGATGATTGATGTTGAGCTTTATTAATTCTTCATTTCTTTAAAACTTGCAACCAGTAAAATTCTATTGTATTTTTAGTTAAAATAAAAAGTTCTTGAAGTACATTTAGACATCAACTGAAGCACATTGCCCCAAAATGTTGAAGTATGTGTTACTTGTTTTCCTAATAATCTGCGTCTATTTAAATACCACTTAATTTCTTTTTTATATACAACCTGAGAATGAAAATGAATTTATGGGTAAACTGGTGGACCCATAGCACAGTTTTTTCTCCCTGAATCCCTCCTGGATCTTAATGTGGCCCTGATTCTTATCTGCACATGCCACTCTCATCCAGAATTAAAGAAGTGAGCTGTCATGAAACTGCTTACATCGTGTGTTTCGTTTCCTCCTAAAATCTATTTTAAAAGATGATTAAAACTGTTTAGGGCTCACACTTTTTTTTCTTTATCATAGCTGTGTTCCTATTTTCTCCCAGATCAAATGTTTCCATGACAAGCAGTCTATTTTAAATAGTAAAAGAGGAATTGTTGACAGAAATGACGTTCCCAGCTCACCAATGAGTGTCATGCCTGGCTGCTGGTTGAGAATGACGGATGTCTCCTCCTCCTCTTCTCCCCAGTCGGCGATGTTGGCCGGTGGGATGCACTGCTCCAAGAAAAGGTCCTCCTCGTCGTCTTCCATGTCTATGTTCTCCGGTGGCCAGCGCAGCTCTCCACTCTCCACCTCGCTCACTTCAGTGGGTTCCACGACGATGGAGGGCAGACGCTCCTTCTCTCTGTCGTGGTCCAAGCTCATCAAAGAGGTCTCTGGACCTAGAACAACCTCAACCGGGTCGGGGAATATCTGGGGGGAAAGGTGGTTGAGAACAGGGTAGGTTGGTCAGTTCAGGTTGTTACAAATTCATTCGAATGGGTGGAATCTTTCATTTCTAATCTAGTTTATTACACTAATGCTTGAGGGTGGTGCACCCTTTTGAGTTTTTCCCTCTTCGCAGATAATTATGACCTCAGACTTTATCAAATCTGATCTTCGAAAATTTGATCAAGAGAACTCAAATAAACTCAATTATTATGTGTGGGTATTTATGTATTAAATACATTAATCCAACAATACCTGAGGCTGAATATCTAGCTTTAGCAGATGATTTGAGGATTAAATTAGAGTCAGATGTGGTCAGTTAGTGGGAAAATACAATCAGATACAAGCAAGCACCTTGTTTTATTTGAAGCACAGTCATCTATCAACGTCTGACCTTCACAAAACTGACAAAGAACGTCTGAGAAGGAGCTGTTGATGCTCGTCAGGCTGTTAAAGGTTACAAATAAATCCGTAAAGAGTTTGTATTCCATTAGGACAAACTGTGCACTTAAACTCTCCTTCCAGCAGCAGAATACAGGACGCATGTTTAATACACAAGATCGTGACACTTATCCTCAATATGAAAGTTTTTCCTCTTATATTTCCTCTTATTATTCCTCTTTTTATTCCTCTTAATTAGCTTCTCTTAAGGAACTTTCAGGTCTTGAGTGAGTGATGATATTTCAAATCTGAATTTCTTAAAGATCCCATAAGGAGGTGAAAACTTTAGGTACTGCATGTCATTTAAATCACAGACAATCAGACTCCCACACAGCTGCCCCATCTGGACCTATTTTTTGTCTAACTGTGGGTCATGCAGATTGAAGGGGCTTACCTGGAATGGTACTCTTTGGTCCTTCCTCTGCATGTCTTCGCAGTTTGGATCATGACTGCTCATTTCCTCCACACCTCTGTATAAAATAGAGAGATAGTGGAAGAGAAGTCGTGATTTTAAAAAAACAATAGAAAACGTACATCGGGATATGTCAGATCCTATTTACCGTTAAGAAATGCGCCTCCTCTTTGGAAACTCCTGTAAGAAATATTCTTAAAGCACCGGCTTTTGGGAATAACACTTTCAAGACCCCAAACCCAAGACTCCACCGTGGAGCATGCTGTGTGAATCTCTGATAGAGGAGCCTTCTTACTTTGTGAGAGTAGACTCTGGAGTCCTAATTAGATTAAATGAATACAAAATTAGGAAAAAAGAGAAATTCAGGACACTGCGTACTTGCGTGCTGTTTAACTCGCTCCTTGACATTATTATCTCTCTTGTTTACAAGTTTGCCACAGTTCTATTCAATTCAGCTCCATCCAATTGTATCCATTGACCACTAATTTGTTCAGAAAGGAATTTCAAAATGAATTTGTCCCAGTTTTATTGAAAATTTTGTTTTTGTTTTTTATTCCCTCAAATGGCACAGCTCCTGACCTCCCTTTGTGCCAGCATTTGAAGAGATTAGAGAAGGCAGAACTCTTCTATAGGAAGGATTTTCAGAGAGAGCTGGGCTGTTTTGAGTGGTTTGGGTGAGGTCCACAGTTGGGCATCAAGCCGCGCAGGGTCAAATTAAATTATCTGAATATCTGTGAGGCTTTATCATTGTCCCCTTGTGCCCCAGTGTCAAAAGGAAAAGAAACATGGTCAAATATGCCAGCCTTTTCATTGGTCAGAGATTTCTCTATCCTAAATCCCACTGGCTGACCCTGGACAGACCATCTGTGTTATGAGGCTGTGCGCAAGCGTGAGCCTCCCAAGTACACACACAGCAAGACTCACTCCTGCCCCAGATTAGTGTAAATCTCACATAGGGTTAGAAACTAAAATAGATTGTGTACTGTCCTCCGCCTCTTTCATATATAGATAATTGTCACATATAGAATATATATATATATATTATCTCAGCCTGGGAAACTTTCAACTTTGAGTCCTTCTATCAGTTTAAGCTGCTGAGATCAACACACCTTTTATCCCTTTTCACAGAAAAGGAAAAAGTATATTGGATCCCTTTCATCAAGCTTAGTATATATGCATTTTTAGTTTTCTTTACTTTCTCCAAATAGCCAATAGGATTTAGAGGAACTAACAATCTGTCTGTTTGTTTGTTTTTTTGTTCTGTCACATTGCCTTTTCTTTCCTCTCTGATGTCACATTTGACTACACATGCTGCTAAATCTTAGTAGTGAATGACATTTCCACTGACTGACTGGTCTATTCAGAAGCCTTTTTTGTTTTTAGAGTGATTTAGCTGCTTTTACTTGGCCACAACAGCAGTTACATTGCAAATTAAGATTTACATTGATTTGTAAAATAGTCCCGGAAAAGTTTTATTTTGTTGCAAAATAAAAAGGGGTGTCAACAAGAGATGAATGGGAACATACAGCACATTCATTTTTGGTTTTGAGTGCTGCCCACATGTGCTGCATATAAGAGAGACTGTTACACAAGGGCAACTTTTGTCAAACACTCTTGATGGGCCTGGTATTTTCCCACGAGTTCCTTGATTCCTGGATTTCCATTCATGGCATTTAATTCTGTTACAGACCTGCTCCAGTGTCTCTTTTCTTTTTAAAAATCCCCTAAACACTCTGTCTGTGCTCGTCTTCCGAAGTGTCCTGTTTGACGTTTTTCCACGATGAAGAGAGAAAGAGAAACGTCTTAAAATGGTTTGTGGCTCTGATGTGAAACTTTCAAGATGCTCACAGTCACATGTGTCCTGTGTTACATTCACCCACCGCCTCACAACACTGCCTGCCCTGTCCACTCAGAATCGCTTAACAATTTGCTATCTTTAGCTGTTTTAGTTTTGAGGCATTTGCGTCATTAATGTTTAAACTTTCAGAAGAAGTAAGATGTATTATGCAAGATTGCATGCCAGTGAAAATATCAAAATGCTAATGTGTTCTCTCTCGACTGTGTTGTGTTATGTTAACCCTCAACTTTTCAGGCCTGCGGGCCCTGGAGCTGTCCCTGCCGGCAGGATCACAGCACATCCTCACAAGGAGCCTCAGCTCCTCATTTGGCTTAGCTTTGGTCCTCTTCTCCATCTAGTTTGTGATAACTGACCATCTAGCTTGTTGTAACTTCTCAGAATGTTTTTGAAAAACACCATGCTCAACAACACGATGGGACTTTCCATTATTTTCCTTTCTGAGAATGTAGATAATGTTCTGCAGGAATCAAGTCGGTATGTTTTTTTGTTTTTTTTTACCAGACCTGGTTTCGAGTTCAAACTGACCCTTCCAAACAGGGACAATAGCACTTATTTTAAATGCACACATCTATATAACTTTTACTTCATCAGTGAATAGAATTGAACATCTTCCACCTCCTTCAGCTCTCATGACCTGCAGGAGGTTTGTGTCAGACCTTCCAGCTCTGCCTACATCTAAGTAGTAAATCATGTTACTTTAAAAGCTATGCTTACTTACCCCTGAGCTTAACTCTAACAAGTCTAATTAGATGTGGGTCAGATTAGTTGAGTTGAATGTGAAGAATGTGGTTAGTTGGACATTTGAATGGAAGCTCTTTAAGTTTTGATCTATGATATTAAGACAGTTTTGACATGGATGCAATTATACACGTGGTTGGTTGGATGATTCTAACTATCTTAAACTAACAAGGAGAGAACTTCTTCGGGTCATAAATGTCTGCGAAAATAATTTATCTTGATTCAGTTTTAGCTGATCCTTTGTTTTGTTTAGATTTCTGGCTGATCAGTCCCACCAAAGTGCTCAGTGTATCATACACCACAACAACTACGGAAACACTAAGCCAGTTTGTGCAACAGTCGGAACGAGGACGCCGTGTCCTTGTGTAAATAGGATCAGCTTTGGGAGGATGCTATCATTTTTGACCCACTTGTGAATGTGTGCAGCCTTACAATTCAATTTCTGATCCTATGCCACTGATGAGTGCACCGCTCTAAGCTGTCTGTGTGCCACCTGGGATGGAAAACTTTCAACAGCTATTATGATGAAGAAGCTTAACCTCTGTGTAATCCCTCTCGTACATAGCTGCTGGAAACACGATTCAGCCCGGTCAACAATTACTCTTTTTTAACAGCATTCAAAACAATTGTATGGCTGTGCAAAATGTTGTTTTTTCTTCTTTTTAATCACTTCTATCCAGAAAAATAGAAAAATGTCATACTAATCACAAACCAAGCAAGGCACATAAATGGCTAAATCCAGATCTTGCTGTGTCGGACCAAAAGTTCATGCTTAAAGGTTAGATCTGTGTCAACAAGAACAGGAAACTGTGATAGATAAAGAACCGCTGTGCAATCAGCCCACCCCTGGTGATGATAAGGGGATTTTTAAACCATGGATTTTTATTTTTCCAGTTTTGATCACAGAATCTATGTTTTCTTATCTCTTACAACTTCCTTGGAATCTCTATGATGTTTCTTTCTTGTTCATTTAAAAACCTGTGATAAGATAAAGAGACCACAAAACCGAGAGGAGCATCTTACTTGCAAGCTTGTTATGCAATTGCTGAAATCGCACTTTGGTAATTCTAAGGTCCGGACAGTACTCATTGAACCCGACAGTTCCTGTTTAACGAGCGCTTTCGGTGTCAACAGAGCTGAAATCCGACATGGTGTTTTGCAAATTGTGGCAAGTGCTCAGCAAAACCTGAAACTGACTTCTCAGCATCCTCTGAATTTTCAAAGTTTTCTGTTTTGTGCAGGGAAATAGTACTTTGGATGGTGTATTTTAATTGAATATTTTTCTATATTATTCTCTGTTCACTTCTAGGCCAGTGTGTGGCTCCGCTTTGAAGACTCTAAATTTAATCTAATCTAATTTGGGCACTCAAAGGAAGGGTTGGTACCAAATGTTACGCCTTCTGTCTGTTTGTGTCTTTTTTATGACAACTGTTTCCTATGTTAAGATTTACTTTAAAGTTTTAACTGTTTGCTGCAGATGTAAAATTGAAGGTATTCAAATGCATGGTCGTAGCATCTTTTAGAAAATCCCTGTGTCAAAATTTATTGATGAAATTAGGTTCCATCTTCCCAATCTGATGGAATGTCTCACTCCAGTTCACTGAGTCAGCACTTGGAATTTTTTGCTTTTTTCTGGCTTTGCATGATCCTATCTCGATGACTTTATTTTGTTTATGTGCAGCCGTGGGAGGGACTGAGGTAGGCCGAATGGTTTAGTCTACGAATAACATTAACTTGTGCGAGTATAACCTGGACCTTAAACACACACCCACTCACAGACATAGAACGCAGCTGCTTCTTACCCCTCAGTTCCAGTCAAACATAGTTCCTCTTCATCTTGGCACAGTTCCACAGTGGTGAAGCTTGCCTCCTCCACGGTGAGCACAGGTGACACAAGAGGGGGTGCAGGAAGAGGTGTGCGGCCCTCGCAGCATTCCCCCTCTGCAGAGCCCTCACTAGAGTTTATGGCCTCCAGGGCGAAGCCTGGATGGGGATATGGGGGTCCCAAACACACAGTGATCCCAGGAGTTAAGCAGCTGATAGGAAGGTGGATGTGTAGCCGGCTGCCTTTCTCTGTCAAATAAATGGTTTTTCCGATTGTACAAGCCTACATGGGCTCCCTCGAACTCCTGTGTCCGCCTTCCTTACACGCGTCTCTCGTTTTCCTTCCCAGTTCCACCCCACCCGAGTGCAAGGCTTTGGAGCGGAGGAGGATTAGCGTCTCTTTCGATTACAGAGGCTGGATGGGTGACGTCAGTCGGGCTTGACAGTCCCCTCTGGTGAGGTGGCGCAGTGGGTCACTGGTGCATCTGCAAAGTGAGGGGCACAGATGGCTGTTGACACCGCTGTTGACAATCCATGGATGGCCTACAGGAAGGCAGCCACTGAGAAGTTTAGATCATTCCTTTCTATCTTGCCTATCCTGTCTGTCCTTTTACGAGTGTGGCGTTGTCAACTGCATGTGCGCAGTGGCTCCAGCCGTGGATTTAGATTTGGACGATTCATGGAATTAGCTTGGTGGATCAAGGGCTCAGGGGGTGGGGAGTGCATGTGTGTGTGTATGGTAAAGGGGGGGGGGGGGGAACCAGTGCAATACAGAACTTGGATGGCTTTTGAATGAGTAGGGCACCAGCCGTCTCATCATGTATTGACCTATTAACTGGTGGTTTTCAGGTTCTGGGCAGATCAGAACAGCAGTTTCCATCTCTTAGATTTCAGAAATATTTCTTTATTGTCTTTCACAGATGCAAGCTGGTTTCTAAAGTGGATTTATGTTCAGTTCAAGGTCACAGTTTGGCTTATTTGAGCTTTTTTATCCCAGTTTACCATGACATCCAGCAAATCTACCTATCAGGTCTGTCAGCTAGCTATTCAGAACTATTTCTAACTGGTTGACTCCTACGCCAAAATATACTCATCTTTTAGCTTATAGCCTTGTTTGTACTAAAACACTATCTCTCAATCTGTGAAAAAAAATGTTAGCAAATAATGTGTCCTTGCTACACGCTGCCTTAACAGAGTGCCCAAAGATATGATTTGATATTTCTATCCTTTGTGTTTATGTGTGTATTTGATCCAGTACTTCTATCAAATCCACCTTCTACATACATGCAACTTTATGTATATACTGTATTTAATGCCTTAAAGAAGCTTTCAGAGTTGCACTACCAGATCTTTTTTAACATTATGCTTTCAGACTTTCCTACAGTTTCCAACACAAATTCTGCAATTGGTGATTTTTTATTATTCTATTTTACACTGGTATAAATCAAAAGTCAAACATGAAATATGATGATATTGGGGGGGTATTTGATCTGGTCCTAAACCCACTTTTACCTGCATATGCATCCACCCAAGGACAGTCTTATTAATTGAATAAATGTGGAAGCAAGCTCTGCAGAGAAGACAAATAGATGCACTAATTCCAGCTATAAACAAGTATACAGACTTCTTTTGTCTGTTGATTGCATGCTATAGTAATGTGCAAATGTGAGGGGTTTTTTGTCTCTTGTTTTTTTTTTCGAAGATACCCTCATTTGACTAAACTCTGAGACCTTTTTGTATGACTCTTCATCTATCTGTCTTCATTTTGGGCTGTGTAGTTACCTTTACTTGTTGGATTCCAAGCCTGTTCATAAACAAGAACAAGAACAGGTTTATGGGCCCATTGGGAGCCTGCTGCTGGGGAGGTGTCCTGTTGTCATTGTTTGTGTCAAGTTTTAAAATGTTTATGTGCTTTCAATACTTGCTTTCAAATAATGCTCAAAGATGTGTAAGTGGCATCATTATATTGAATAATTACCATACCACATTTAGACACGATTGTCAAATTGTGTTTGCACTCATCAAAAGTTTATTCTAACATCCATCCATCCATTATCGTTACCGCTTATCCCCTAATGGGGTCAGGGGGAGAACTGGAGCCTAACCCAGTGCTCAACGGGCGAGAGGCGGGGTACACCCTGGACAGTCTGTTATTCTAAAATGTGACTTTTAAAAAAAATAATAATTATGAAGAACATTGGAATGAAGCAGCTGTAATTATAAACCAGATCGACCACTTCCTGCTGTTGCATGCAGTCTAGCATTTTCAGCATTCTCCTGCAAGTCTTCGGCAGGTAAGCTGTTCTTTTTTCTCCCAAGAGCAAAACATTTTTGTAAAGTTCGTATTGGTTTAAGATTACATCTTTGATGCACACAAGTCAGAGAGAGCCATTGGAATCAAGGTCAGAAGCAGTAAAAGTAATCTCTTTGTTCATGGAATTGTGAAATGAAATGAGAGGCATTTTGTGCATTATCTGTTTAACTGCTGACAATGTGTTCAAACCATCTTTTTTAGCTATCATCTTTTAGTGCAGTTACTGTTTTAACGAGGACGCACCAGTCATGGCTTTTGACCCACCTCGTGGAGACAATGTCAGTTCTTCAGGTAAAAATTCAGTTACTTCCATTCATCTCATTTGTCACGTGATAGCAAAATAATCTGTTGTCTGATTTTTATAATGTTTTTCATGTTTCTAGGCAGCATAGCCTTCACAGCCAAGTTAATCGAGTGTGAAAGCTACCCCTGCCACTCTGGAGTACTGAAGTTTCGCAATGTGCTGATCAACGAGGGAGGAGGTTACAACCCTGAAACCGGGGTCTTCACTTGTCCCTTGGATGGCGTCTATTACTTTATTGTGCATGCGTCTGTGTATGGCCGTGGACAGTGTGGAATTTTCAAGAATGGAGAGAAAGTAGTGTCTTTGTATCACACTTCTCTGCCCGACAAATGTAGCCAAGTTGCAACTGTCAGCAGTGTGGTCAAGCTGTCCAAAACTGATGAGGTGTCTGTGAATCTTTGGGGTCCTGGTAGAAACGACATCTTTGCAACAGCAGATAATGACACTGTCTTCTCTGGGTTTCGTTTGGGTTGATCCTTTCTTTGTCCCAATACCAGAGTAGATTCTGCTAGAGTTTTTGTGAGCTACTATCTATCTTTTGGTTCCTTTTTGTTTTTCATGTCACAAGTGAGTGGTGTCATCAATAAATGAAAAGCACTGTTATGAGCCAACTGCGTCTGTTTCTTTCTTTTTCTTTTCATTTTTTTTTCTATTGTCCTGCTCTAAGCTTCCCGGCCTGTGGGGGGCGCTGTCTTTCAAACCGACATGATCAGAATTATTCGCGCATGCGCGAATAGTCTGTTTTTGAAGCGGCAGAACCCTGTAGCAGCATGATTAACTGACCAAGTGACGTTAATGTTGTTTGATATTGTCTTTAAGTTACACATTCCTGATGGATTTAGACAGTGGTACATACGAGCCTGGGTTCGTTGGTATACGTTTTTGCCAAGAGTGGTGAGTCTAACTGTCATCAAATTTTACGACGCAAACTTAGCTAATACGCTAGCTAGCTAGCTACTCTTCCTATTTGACCATATGTTCATAAACAACATGGAAAGCCGGCTAACCGTGCTGTGTTTTCTTCCCTACAGTAATAATATGTTGTACCCTAAAGAGGATAAAGAGAACCGCATCCTGTTGTATGCAGTAAGTATCTGGTTGGGGTTTGGTCAAATACAATGGATCCTGTTTTTAAAAGAGGCTTCTCACCTTGTTCAAGATGTAAAAAGTGCCATGGCTTTACTTATCCCTTCTATACCACTTGCACATGGGCAGGGAATTGTTTTTATCATGACACAAAACCTCCTACTTGTGTGATGGTGTAGCATATCTACGTTAGCATTATCAGCTCTGAACGTAGCATCTTGAGACTGTTGTTTTTGTTTTTTCTTAAGACCGAACCCTGATATAAAAACAAAGTTACGGAGTTTCCTTGTTTTCCGTCCAACTTACAGTGCAGGAACTGTGACTACCAGCAAGAGGCAGACAACAGCTGTATCTATGTCAACAAGATCACCCATGAGGTTGAGTAAGTAACAACAAAGATGTTAAGACACAGGTTCAGTTTGCAGCCAGCTGTTTTTTCTGATCCAAATGACAGCATTCAACATCATTCTACTCTTAATAATAGATTTTGAATCTCTGCATATCAGAGACAGCACCCAGTCCCCATATGGACACATCAGGCCATTTACTGCAAACGTAACGGCTCTCTTTTTTTATCAGCGAGCTGACACAAATCATCGCTGATGTTGCCCAAGATCCTACGCTGCCAAGGACAGAGGATCACCCGTGTCCAAAGTAAGTTGTGTACTATATTCTGTTAATCTGTGGTTTTATTTTGGTTTGGCAATTGCTGTTGACGAAAAATAACTGAGAACAAGTATTGAAAGTCCCAAAAAAGAAGCAGGTTTGGTGTTGAATCCCAATACGATCAGCAGCTTTTGGATTTCCATGGAACAGATTCACAGTCTGTTTTTGTATCAGAATGTTCATCCTTTCTGCACCCAATCCTTTGGAACTGCAGTGAAAGGTGAAGCGCTGTAGTAACATGGACGTTTCATCTTCTATTTTCTTCTCAGATGCGGTCACAAGGAAGCAGTGTTCTTCCAATCTCACAGTATGAAGGCTGAGGTAAGGACTGCTAGTTAATTTAGGTCCATTTGGCCTTACAGATTCTCTAAAAAATTAAGGAAGAACTCTCATGTCTTGTAGTGTAATTTGACATTTAGGCAATCAAATGAGCATATTTTTGTTTTTTATTACTTTTTAACTAAAGTTCATGCAGCAAATGGTAATTTAATAGCAGTATTGTCAAATTAATAAATTATATAAACATGATTTGCTCCTCTGCTGTAGTTACCTTACATTTGAGTTGAAGGAGTCTATAATTCAATCTGGTTTGTTGTGCAGGATGCCATGAGACTGTACTACGTCTGCACAGCACCCCACTGTGGACACCGGTGGACAGAATAAAAGCTGGTGGGGGTTAAACAAGTCCAGCGTTTGCGTTTCGAATTGGCAGAAAGCATTCCCATCGGCAGCTCAATTGGTGGGGTTTTCAGCCCTGTCACATCACACAGAATCCCAAATAGAGCAAGAACTCTGATAGGCTTGGCGCATCCCATCTGTAAGCATGTTGTGAATAGAATGCGTTCAGCTTTTATGTTTTTTTTAGATACAAGTTGTTTAATTAAAACATTTTTTTCTAATCTGTCTTCGTTTTTATTTTAAAAAGTATCCAACGATAATTAAAAAAAAAAAATCACATTGTTTGTGTATCCATGATTGTGCCAGTTGGACAGTTCTGATGACCCTGGTGAAAAAGCACCTCTGGATTTTAATGGGAAAACTGATGAATCTAGGATGCACATACAAGGCTTCACTAAATATACCCTAAATCATTTCTTAGTATTTACATAACTGGATGTAACAGTTACTGGATGTAAGATTACTACTGTTGTTTTACCTTGACCTAGTGTGAGGGAGTAATTAGTTTTAACAGTCTTTTCAGTACAGTCTTTGAGGAGTAACTGCACTGTAATAAGCATCTCTGCCTTTGTGCGGTCAAATTCACCTAAAACCTTCCAATGATTACTATCTCCCTGTTTTCATCATTCATTTTGGGATGTTGCAAAAAAATTGTAATGTTTTCCGACTGTCTCTTTAAATGGTTTCCCAGACTTGATGTGGTTCACCGGATAACACTGTGGTTATTGAAATGCAATGACCTTTTTCAGTTTATGTAATTGTTTTTTACTAAATGTCTGAATCTCCTGGGAAATTTGACTGACTCAATCACATGACTTGCAGTATTTAACTGAAGGTGTTTTCATCATTAATGGATCAGAGTAAATTTATACCACATGCTATTTTAATGGAGAAGTCATTACATTTCTTGTGACTAAGTCTTGGCATCACGGTTATCTCTAATCCTCTTCTCTTTTCAAAGAACTCTCTTGTAAATTCCTGAAATTCGGTCTGTCTTTGGCTGTGAAGAATATACTTGGTTTTCAAATCTCTACCAAAAGGCAGTGGAAAATTGGAGCACATAGTCATCTCGTTGATTTGTAACTTGATGACTGACAATAGAAATTCTCTAAATTAGTCTGAACTTCCAGTGTTAATATTGTGGTATGTCGCTTCCCAGTTGTGGTCAAATAGAGACAATGCAATTCCAGTCTCAGGAAAAAATACTGAAACTTTCTAAATAGGAACTAGTCACATAATTTATTACTTTAAAGTTTTTTCAAGCTTAAACATGAACAGAATGATGTTAGTTGCTGAAGAACGTCCACCGACCTGAAAAATTTGCGGGCCCAAACTTTTTGTGTCCTGTTATGCATTTAAATTTAGCTGGGATCACTTATCAGACGAGGCCAATGAGTAACTCAAGATTTGAATTGGTCAGATCACTGACGAACGCTGAATGTTTTAGTCCAAGCAAAGAAACTCTGTGAGAGCAGATTTGTGGGAATTTTGAGTTTTGAACAGACTTTTTTGTTGAAAGACTATTTTTTCATACACACTGTTTGTGTGTGAACTAACAACAGAAAGAAAATACACAGTTATTTTTTTACGATTAAGAATTCTTTACGAACAAAAAAGTGTTTTCCTTTTTTTCAAAATGAATATCGAAAGATTTGTTTCAAATCAGTGCATTAGGAGGGGACTGAGACTGCAGAGATTGATAGACTTTTCTTGAAAACAACACAAAAAACAAGTATTAACAATAATAAGTGTTGTTAAAAGGAGAGGTGATGTGATAGAATGATACCTGGTCCTGTATCCTAACTTTTTAATGTATTTTGTTCATATATGAATACAATAATTTCCTCCATGTCAGATAAGCCAATGTTCACACAAGAAATTAAAGATGTGATTTTTTCCCCTTGCATTTGAGAAAACATGCCAGCTTTACTGGAATTGAGGTTTATTGAATATTTTAAAATGATTAAGATTTTTAAATCCATTTGAAAATACCAGTTTGGTTTCTGTTAACAGCTGCTCAAAGTTGCTGAAACTCCATTAATGATTTCTTCTAAAACCCCAACAACTTTTAACATAGTGACACACAAGTCATGTTGGACCCATGTGAAAGAAAATAGAGCTGCCATTCGCCCACTGTGAGTGGCTTCTGGGAGCATTGCTCACTCTCATTTCCTCTTTTTTCTGGCATGTATATTCCAAACAACCGGTTAGGCAACCGTACACGTGCAGCTGTAAAATAACTTGTTTGCATTCATCCACTTGCTACAACAAAGAGCGGGGAAGGTGTGCTTTCCATGAACACGCCCTCTTAGACAAACTCTTTTTAGGGTGGTGCACATTCTGCCGCTGGTCAGTCATCGCAGCAGGACCCATGGAGCAAACCGGTATGCAAACATTTATGTATTAACGACAAAAAGTCTTCGCTCGTACCGCTGGTCAAGCTGGAAGGGTGATAATGCTTCTGATTGTCTTCAAACTGCTTTTCAGTGAACGTGGTTTCGAGGCTTCAGTGGGGAGCAGCCGACCCCAAAAAAAAGGAGACCATGAAGGGTTCGGCTCGGAGAGTCATAATTCACCACACTGCTCTCCAAAACTGCCAAGGTCTGGGAGGGTGCAAGGACCTCCTCCTGAGCATTCAGAGGATGCACATGAGCGAAAGGCAGTTTGATGACATCGGATACAAGTGAGTCCTTCTTTAATCCGCCTTGTCTAAATGTTTAAAGTAAGACCCTATCGATAAGGTGGAGTGATTTATCGTTGTTTGTGTCTATTAAAAAGAAGGGGGGGGGGGATTCTCCCCATTTACTGTACTGAAAAGCTTCTTTTTGTTTACAGTTTTCTGGTTGGCAGAGATGGCAGCGTGTTTGAAGGCCGTGGCTGGAACGTGGTGGGGGCACACACCAAAGGCAACAACAGTGACTCCCTCGGCATTGCCTTCATGGGCAATTTTAACAGTGAGTAATAGTATTTATTTTGAAATGTCACCACAACTTGACATGTAGGTCATCGTTAAAGCGGGAGAGATTGGGAAAAGCCGCCGTATCTTTATGGCAACTGTACATACCATCGAGGTTTATGACAGAAGTTACACAACCTGCAACAATAACACAACCGCTCACTGTTTCAGATGACACTCCCAGCAAAGAGGCGCTATCGTCAGTCAAACAGCTCATGCTATCTGGAGTTTCCCAGGGCTCTCTGCACCCACAGTTTGACTTGTTTGGGCACAGAGATCTGGGAGCAACAGCGTGCCCGGGAGAAAATCTTTACGCTGCACTGGCTCAGCTAAGGAGAACAACATAAAGCTCGGTTCAGAGTGGCAGAGAAACGTGGCCTAATTCAATCAGCTCTGTGTAGCAAACACATAGTAAGCATCAAATGTCTTGTGGATTAAAAACTCATTTTAACTTTGTTGACATATTAAGGGAAGGCCTCAGTTGTCATGCTCAGAAAGAGGCCTTGAGGCATTCAGTGGCTGTCAGGAAATTCTCTTACAGCAGAGGGAGCCAACACAAAGAATGAGACCAAGGAGCTGCTGTGTCCACAGGTGACAGCTAAAACATTAGAACTAGTTGGACCGAGCTGGTAGTGATGTTTTTCATTTTAGATTTTCCCCAATTCAACTTGAATGTCAATCTTAAGTGCAATATTTAAACTTGATTTAAACTTGACTTGGTGCAGATGGTTGGTTAATGGCGTAAAATAAACCTTTTCTTTTTCTAAGCTCGGGCTCAACTTCTTTTTAGAGTACGAACACCTTTTGAAAAGTTGAAGAAATAAATGTTTTTGCCAGAGCCCTTCTCCCACAGTGGGACAGGCTGAGTTTCTCCACTGCTCATGTTTCACCATCTGGATCATAAACACAGCCAAATAATAAGGCTGCCTTTGCAAAAGCTGCAGACTTTTCATCTTTATTTTCCAAAGAGTTAGTGCAACAAGATCAGTGTAAACAACATAAGGTGTGGCTTAGATTAAAAAACACACACACACCAAGGAAGGATTATAAATGTTGAATCAAACACTGCAGGCGCTCTGCAGGGCCGAAAACATTCCCGACATGTGCCTACCTGCACGGCACAGCATTTACAAAAAGAGGCCCCTTATCAAACTAACCAGAAGAGGATATATCATATCAGATTGTAATTGTAGTTCAAAACATAACAATTTTAAGTCTTATTCCTCTATATGTAGAACTGCAGCCCTAACAGGGTTCTAAAAAGAGTCACAATCAAAGACAGAGGAAACATTAATAAATAAATTGAACAAAATCCATTTTACCACCCAGTAAAATACAACACGTGATAATACGATAAGATGCACATTTTCTTTAAAGGAAACATGGAAGCAATTGTTGGTTTTCTAATCTGTGAATTGTTTAATAGACAGTAAATATCCAGCGTAGCAATAATTAGAGCCGTAAAATATTGAGAAGCTTTGATCTCTATTTGAATACCATCAGATCACCGTCTCTAAAGTGATCAGGTAGAAATGCAATCAGTCTGGCAGTAAAGTATAATAAATTCGATTCTACCTGTGTACTTCTTAGTAGCAGCATTTAGATGTATCTTAGTGCCTGGTCAGTTCTGATCTTTTTGAGTGCTCAAACGACAGATTCCTAATAAGAATTTAAAGAGCTAAAAGCACATAAAATCATCCAAACCTTCAAGGGTAAATGGAAAGCAACACTTTGATCCATTTCACTAAACATAATACATACCAGGTCTGATTGGTGGCCTTTAAACCATCAATATCACATGTTGAATTCGGGTTCAAATCCTATATGTTCTATGTCAAAATGTGAATTGAAAGTCGTGCCTTTTCTGAATTAAAGTGAGATAGAATATAAAAGAAACTTTTTTCTTTTTGCCTGCACCTCCAGGAAATAAATTAATATACAAATTCTTCTGCTTTCCTCGTGATAAAAAACGTGTTTTTCTGCATTTCTTTCATCTTCATTTAATGTATTTCCCCTCTGACTAATTCACAATCCACTCTGGCTTCGTTCAGTTATTCAAAAAAAAAAACTTTCTGACAGCTTGTTCAAAAGAAAAGGCCAGGAAAGGATTTACGATCAGTTTTTGTCAAACATTAAACCACACGTGGAATACTTTGTGGTTACCAAATCGAATAATTGTACCTCTTCGCAAAAAGGCCTAATCCTTATTGTACTGTGTGGCTCCATTTGAGAGGTATAATAGTGTTTTCTTTCCATGTGTGGTAAGTGATGCATCATAAATGCATCACGGAAATAATTGTTATTCATCAATTCGTCTTAAACCCAACTATTTTGCATCAGTGGCGTTTGTTGTAGGTTTCGGCTGAAATTTTGATTGAAATACACTAATTGTGTACAAGTAAAGAGAGCAGAGAAAGTTGAGGAAGGTAAAGTTATAAGCCTGGAGGGCGAAGTGCCTGCGAAGAGCTTGAGTTTCATGAGTCACGGAAGTGTTATAATTGCACACGGGAGTTCACCGAACAGTCAGACGGGCTGACGGCACTCATCTCATTTGGAGAAACACTATTCTGTCATCAACCTGTATCTAAGTTTATTTTTGGACCTTTTAAAGCTCGATTAAATATCATAGAATGACCATGTACCCTAAATGATATATATATGTCAAAGTGAAAAGGACGATTAGGGTTAGGGGAACTGTTTTTTTTGCGCAAAACTGTTCAATCGGTCAGTCCGGGATGCGCAGATAACGCCTGGTCCTGGTTTGATCAAGTGAGCAACGCGCCGCGTTTTGTCGATTCGGACTCCTGAGCTGCTGTGATCATGCGCATTTGTTGACGCGCGATTTGGCCAGTGAGTCTTTGGCTCCTCACTACCTTGAATCAGCGCATCTCTGCTCAGTGCGCTCAGTGACGCGCTCCGCTGCCATCCCAGAACTCACTCCGCGCCCTGACACGGACATGGAGGATTTGAAAACTCCGAACCGCTTCCTCCATAAATCTTCTTTCAGCATCAGCAGCCTGTTGTGGAGGAGAGAGGGGGTCGTGTCTGACCAGGACCCTTCTCCCTTTTCCCCGAAACTGCATTCGGCTCACGCTGAAAAAAGCGTGCAGCAGGAGAACACGAAAAGCTGCGAAAACTCCAAACGGAGCATTAAAATGGACATCAAGCCGGTCTCTGTGAAGAGGGAAGAGAATGGAGGTGAATCCGAGAAAGTAGGAAAAGCAGAAGAAGGCGCAAAACCTGAGAAACCTCCTTTCAGCTACAACGCGCTTATTATGATGGCCATTCGCCAGAGCCCGGGAAGAAGGCTCACCCTCAACGGCATCTACGAGTTTATAATGGACAACTTTCCGTATTACCGACAGAACAGACAGGGGTGGCAGAACTCTATCAGGCACAACTTGAGTCTTAACAAGTGTTTCGTCAAAGTGCCGCGCCACTACGACGACCCGGGGAAGGGGAACTACTGGATGCTGGACCCCTGCAGCGAGGATGTCTTCATAGGGGGCACCTCCGGGAAGCTGCGGCGCAGGACCACCATGGGCTCCAGGACCAAACTTGGTCTGAAAAGAGGCGGGGGTCGACTGGTGTCCTCCAACGCAGCGACCAGCGTTACCCTGGCCGCGGCCAGTTCCTTCTACTGGCCGGTGCCGCCGTTTTTGCCTCTCCAGACGCCGGTGCGCGCTCACCTCGGCGCAGGGACTTATCTCGCCGCTCACCCCCGCTTCTCCAACCACTCCGCGTCGGTTGTTTCCCAGCGGGCACGGCTGAGCGCGTCTGCGGCCGACGCCGCGGAACGGCTCTTCCAGACGCGCCAGGAGATGTCCTACATCGGAGTCAGCTGCGCGCAATCCCGTCGCCACCAGGTCGGCACGGCCCTCTCCGCGTCCTTCCCCGCGTGCGCCCTGCAGCTGCCCGATCCCTGCTCCTTTAACATGATCTCCGGACAAGCCAGCTACTTTTACTCGCACCAGATACCACGTGCCGCCGCGTTCAGCCCGTGTCAGGAGGAGTGCGTCAGTCCCAGGACGTCTCCGGGACAGTTTTTATCCAAGAGCGGTCACTCAGACCTCGGGCGATGCTGCAGTGACTTTCCCAATTACTGTCCCCAAGTCAGCTCAAGCCCTCCATCAGCTTGGAATATAGAAAAATGAAATACTTGGTGACAAAACCATTGTACAGTGTAGTGTAGAATAGAGATGAAAAACGAGAGGCTAAAAGGCCAAAACATGCTTTCATGGTCAAATGCATACATTTCTATCTGATCATTTCCTTATGTTGTACCGGAATGCCAGCATTTATTTAAAATGACAACGAATGTCATGCAATTTGTTTTAAATGGGAAAAACATACATGTAGCCTATTTATAGCACACCAAATCATGCTTCCCAGATAAACAAAATAATAAGGGATAAATGGTTTTGCTGAATCTATTCGTTTTTGTTTTGTTTTTTCTCTTTAAGAAACAACTATATTCAGTTAACTTTTCTCATTTATTTCCCACTTATGGAGCATTAATCAGCGTGGACTCATGTCTGCGCGCATGTTTGGTGCTTTGTCGGGGGGAAAAAAGACAGCAAAGGAAGTTAAATCTCGATCTGATCGATTTTAGACCAACTATTAGTTTAAAAATTATAGATAAGAGGGCGTTCCAGGTACCAATACTCGAAAAGGAAAATACCTGAATGAATCCAAGTGCTTCGGTGAGTAGAAATGGTTAAAAAAAATGACACTCAAACTGTTCTTTTGCTGCTCTTAGTGTTTTCGATTTCGCTGATGATGCAACTTTAAAAAAGACATTCCTATTTTAATTACCTTACATGTAATTAAACGATAAATAATGCATTTTAATTGTGTTTTCCTTTTACCTCATTAAAGTCTGATAATGTTGTTGATTGTTCTTATTTGGCTGTGTTATTAAACGTTTCACTCTGGAGATTTGAGCTTTCACAATATTCAAATGTATACAATATGTAAATGTGTATGTGTGCGTGTGTGTGCGTGTGTGTGTGTGTGTGTTGGACTAAAATGATGTGAAGTAAAAGCTGGTTAGTGTCTAAAGATCAACAGTTCATACTTGCAGCCACATCTGTCTGCTGAGGACTGAAGAAACTCCAGCAGGTACACTTCAGGTGTCCATTTCAGCTGATCTTATCTGTCAGTTTTTTGTCTTCCACACCGCTGACATGGCTTCATGTTAAACTTCCCTTCAACTTTCCCCTGTTGTAACCCCCCCGGGCACAAATTTATACCCCCCCCCCCAAAAAAAAAAACATATATGTATGAGGAAATGGATTAGAGCACCTCTCTGGACGGCTGCCTCTCTCAAACAAAAGGTCCTTTGTGTGAGAACACCTGAGTCCGTCACAGTCGCCTGTGGTTAAAGCAGACAGGCCCGGATCAGGTAACTTCAATGTTGGCAAACTCACTGTCTAGATACAGACGGAGATGGTAGTCTAATATTTTCATCACTGGCATGAGTAATTGTGGTCGCAGTGCATAGAGAGAGGGGGGGGGGGTGTGCATCTACAAGCTTGTGGGGCCACTGTTTATACCTTGAGGCAGAGGTAAGAAGATACCACATTTGGCTGTTAGTGAGGTAAATAATCACCTTCCTTTTGAAAGCTTTGCCGCTACGCATGCATCACTGAGGTATGGTCGTTTTAGGATTTTTCCATTTGGACTGACAGAGGTTGATGCTGACATCTGCCATTGATGTTGTGCTAGGATTGACATAAATATAGAGGTGATAAGAGTTTTTTTAAATCATTTTTTAAAAAAGCATTTTCGTTTTAATTGCACAAAAAGTGGTCAAAGTTCAGTTTCTTTAAAAGCTTAGACAAGATGGACTTTCCACAGACTAAGAAACTAAGAGTCATTTGACACTCCCTGATTTATGTTTGGCAGGTGGTATCATCTCAGGTCGAAGCTTAAAGTCAAGGAATAAGGTAAGGAGTAACCTTTCATTAAATTAGAATACATGCAAGCAAAACCTGATTTCATTCTAAGCAAAACAGCATTTGGTTAATTCCAGTCTGTGAAAGGGGTCAGAATGAGTTTAGTATGAAATTAATCCATTGAGACAGACTGATCTCTCATTGGTAAATTTGTCATTTTTTAACGTAGTCCACAGGCCTGTGGACACGTCCAAGCCCACACCTCCTGTTAAATGCTGAGGTCCTTACTTCCATCTTGTATTATTCCATCTGGATATGTATTTACTGCTTGTCCATTGTGCTTTGGGAACATACTGAAAAATGAAGCCCCTGCTGCTGTGATTGCTTGATAACAATCTGTTCAAGATTTGAATCTGACAGCACTTCTTCTGGGTCTTCATTGTGCCACCGTTGATAAGATCCGCATCACCAGTGGCCAAAATGTGGCCTGTGAATCACAACTGAGCCTCTGTCTATTTGAAACGTGACTTTACACACTGATTGTTGTACATGCATTCTATCGGATGATTAAAACCTAATTCTGTAAGAATATTTGGATTCATCACAGCATAAGACCTGTTTTCATACATTTGTGTTATTTGGCATCTAGCCACCATTTCTGTGGGGGCTGCTCTGAGCAGTAGATGGATCAGCGGACACTTAGCCTGTGCTTTTTGTGTTTTTTTATTATGTTTTGTTTTTTGGCAAGTCTTCTGCATGTAACTGTAGAGATGGAAAAAAAAGAACAAGTCTTTGTGACTTACGACTCGTAACAAAGTCTCTGAGGATTGAATTCAAAATAGATTTTTTTTGCTCCATTTTCTTTCATGTTTTAACACAACACTGATTTGTCCTGTGAGTTTGATGTTTTTTCTTTGGTGATTCGTATGTCAGTGTTAAGTTGCTTAACAGACAATCAAACAAAATAACAACAAAAAGGTGCTCTGTAACACCTTTAAAAAAGGCTTAGTAGCTATTCCTCATAATCGTCTTAAAAAATTAAAATGTAAAAGAAGTTTGGAATTTTTGGAGACAAAATATCAAATCTGAGTGGCTTTACATAATTGTCCAGCTTTACTTTCCCCTTGAAATCAAGCTAAATCAAATTTATACTAATACAGTCTTTATTCACACAAAAAATATATACAATTGATAGCAGCCATAATAACAAATGTAACTCACTTACTAAGCCTGATAAAAAAGTTCCCCCAAATCTAGGAACTAGATTTTCAGCCTTATTTTTAAAGGGTCTTTCTATTATTCAAGTAAAGAGCAAGCTTCAGCTCCACTATCTATTCCAGTTATGACACAGAGTCCTGAAAAAAGATTATATAATTGGCTTTCATGTAATGAAGAATTTCTGTTTACAAATTAGCCCTACACTCTTCAAGTTGTGCCAAACTGATAGGCCAACACCTATGTTGGTTGTGCCCATCTGATTTAACGGCTGCTGCCCTCTAAATTGGGCAGCTGTAAAGTGTTTTCAGATTAGTTCCTGCTGTCCCATCACATGTAAGGCAATGCGGACCTCATTTCATTCTACATCTTAAGATGTGAGTCTCTTGGCCCGGTCGGGTGTGCTTCATGAAGGTATGGTAGCTCTTTGGAAATCAATCCCACACACTCAGCTCTCTCAGCAGCACACAGGCTGCCATTATCTGCACCCAGTGATTTCCACAGGTAGATCTGTAACCTTTGGAGTAAGGCGGGAGGGTTGTGCACCCATAGGCGTCTGTCTGTCTCTTGCCAGAAAGCCAATCTCTCAGTGTCTCATTGCTGATGTGGAGCATACATTCCCTTCTCTCGCTCTCTCTCTCTCTTTCTCTCTCTCTCATTGCTCTGTCATGCACAGACACACACACAGAAACACACACATGCTCAAACATCCACTATCCTGTCTTACACTGTTAAAGAGCAAAACAAAGACCTTAACTGTTTAGTTTGCAGTATCTGAAAGGCAGCTCTCTCACCGCCTTTCTTTTTTTTAAAATGTGTCTGCTGCCAATTTCTTGAACAGAAAAGGGTTATTTTTACTCAAACACCCTGAATAAAGATAAAGTTTACTATTATCAATATTTTTCTAATTGCTTGATAATCAGCAGGATTGCTCCAGCCAAAGATAAGACAGCTATCCAAGTTCACTGTCACAAGTATCCATTTAGAATAATTGTGTGTACAAATACTTTTTTACATACTTTTTTGTTGTCTTGTTTTTGGGGGGGGGGGGTGGAAGAGGAAGTTAGGCTACCTGTAGAGAACAATCATGCCGGCCCAGTTATTGAAAGTGGGAATCTTAACCTATAAGAAAGTACTAAACGCTAGTGCAACCCATTACATTATCGTTAGTGACAGGAATAGTAGTTATTAGTGGTGGTAGTTATCTGTCTTGAAAACCTAAACAAATTCCTTTCCCACTGTGTCAAAGTCAAGTATTTCAATCGGTGTATTTAAGAGTATTTATTCAACGTGAACCCCCCGCCACCGGCAATAACCCGGTAGTTATAACTAAATCTGCTAAGCGCGTACAAAATGACCCGGAAGTAGATCTGTCCACGCGAGTCGAGCCAAATCGTTGAGCGTACGAAAGTGTTCGTGGCGAAAAGCTCAACAAGACTTCGGAACACAGTTTTTTTAAACACCAGAAATCATGTAAGTATCTTGTATGTTAAACATTTCTTTGGTAAGACGCTAATTTTTCGACGAAGACCTCGTTCGGCGGCGTTGGGGCTTCCAGTATTCAGTAGGCTAACGCTGCTAGCTTAGCCACCGAACAAGGCTAATCGGCTCTAGTTCTGTTGCTTTGAGCTTCCTGGCTGAGGCCGTTTAAAACATGATTTTCTTTGCCTTGCTCTTTTTTTTTTTACAGCGACGGTGCAGCACACGCACAAGAAAAAAAAAACCTGTTCTTAAATAAATTAGTTGTATTCTAACGTATTTTTAATGGACCAACAAACGCTGTTTGCTAATAGCGAAAAGCATGCTGCTGTGGACAATGATTGTTTGCTAATGTTTCTTTTTGCGTATTTTATTGGATCAATATTTGTTGATAAAGAACCATTTTAACGTTAACATAATTTTCTAATACCCTAATATTGTATGGTTAAATGGTGCTACAGTACATAGTTTATTTTGAGTTAGATGTTTTTCTCCCCTTTGTTTTATTTTTGTAAATGCTAATACGTTTTGTTAGATGGCACACATTCTCAGGCTCTCTATAGATGTTTTGAATAGTAGCTAAACATTTCTTGATGTAAATTAAAGCTGCCCCCCCCAATAATTGTTTACATGGTCTAATTTTCAGGAGTCTGTTGACAAAGCCCAAGTCAGAGATGACCCCGGAGGAGCTTCAGAAACGGGAGGAGGAAGAGTTCAACACTGGCCCCCTTTCAGTCCTCACCCAGTCAGTGAAGAACAACACTCAGGTCCTCATCAACTGTCGCAACAATAAGAAGCTCCTCGGGAGGGTCAAAGCTTTTGACAGGTACGGAGGCTATGGTTTACACTCACTGCTGAACAGGCAGGAGGGTATAATCAGGTTTTTTGTTAAAAAAAAAAACATGAACAACCCACAGGACTTGTCTTGCGTGTGAAATGAGAGAAACTTAGAGGAAAGGTAAAACCCACTATCTTTGCCATTAGTTTGATGTGGACTTCTGTCAACATCTGTCAGATAAAAGCAGAAGAATCTAATCTGAGTGGTTTCAAACTCTATTCCATTTACAGTACATGATTGTTTAGAATTGTCTGGTTTTAGTATTAAGCAGAACTGTTTGGTTCTTTTACAAGCAGTGGGGGGGGGGGGCTGCTGTAAGCAGGCAAAAGCCCACTTAAACAGTGGGCATTTTGTTTCCAGGGAACACTAAAGAATCCCAGCCTCCTCTTTTTTTTTTTATTATTACAAGAAGTTTTATTTTAGTTATCATGCATGAAAAGTCAGCAGAAGAAACTAATATGCTCACATCTTAGTTGTTGTAATTGTAAAATTCAGTCTGTGGGCGGTTTACCCTGAGCTGTTACCTTACCTGATGTGGTACCACTGATTGGAATACTGAGGGGGAGAGCTATGGCTTGGATACTGAAAATGAATAGATTTGTCGACTCATGATCTTTGACTATATGTGGAATTTGTTCGTTTTTTTGTTTTATTTTTCTCTTTAAATTACAAGATTACACACACAGTGATCCACATGACCCAGCTGTTTGATGCAGAAGGATTTTACGGTCTTTTTTGTGTTTGCGTCATTTCAGGCATTGTAACATGGTCTTGGAAAACGTGAAGGAGATGTGGACGGAAGTCCCCAAGAGCGGGAAGGGAAAGAAGAAGTCGAAGCCGGTCAACAAAGACCGCTATATTTCGAAAATGTTCCTGAGGGGGGACTCCGTCATCGTGGTGCTTAGAAATCCTCTGATCACAGGAAAATGAACTGTTTTTTTTTGTTAGTTTTTTTTTTTTAAGTCATCCACCTGAACCGGTGATTTTGTTGTTTTTTTTCATTTGAAAGGCTGCAAAAGAGTGGATTGTCACTTCTGTTAGGTCGTTTGTATGGATCTCAGTTGTTGGAGCTCTGCCTTCAGTATTGAGGCAAAAATGGCGTCACAGAAAGGATCATTCCACTGCTTTACGCCGGCCATAACACCCTGCGGCTATCGCTGTTTCCATTTTTAATAATAAAAGTTATGGATCGAAAAGTTGTTTGGGTTTTTGCGTGTTTGTGCCTTCCACGTCCGTCCATCCCTTCCTCAACTGTCTTCTGGTCTTTGTGAAAACCTTGGAGAAAAGTTGTGGTATTCTTGAGTATCCTTGCCACAGCCTCCCGGTCCCCTCCTCCGCTGCCGGCTTCTCACTCTCCCCTGACAGCAGCTTGGGTGTCAGGTTTGATTTCAGCCAGCAGCGCTCAATATGTGACAAACTGCCGTTTAAAGGCGCGCTGCATTATTGATGAGACCAGATGTGCTGACTGTCACTTCACACCCTCGTCTCTCCATTTCAGGCTGCCGCTCGGCCCCTCCTGACCACTTTGTTAATTGTCCTAATAGCTCAACAGCGAGTGTCGCCTTTCTTCTCTCTGGCAGTTTAACCTCTGTGTTCAGGCCTCTCAAATTCAGCGGCGACGTGTCGGTAAATAAAAGGCATTTCTTCCTTTTGGGGAATTGATTGCAATTGATTTTTTAAATACTTTTTTTTAACTTTTGGGGTGGGAGGGGGGGTCATATCCCCTCTGGTTTTTAAAGGCAGGCCTGATATCTGGGATGCAGCTCATTGTGTAAGCGGCCCTCCTGCTCTGGTATTCGGATGATCTGGATCGGAGCTGAGGTGCGCTGTGCCCATGAGGCCAGCACCTGCAGAAGGTGTGTGTGTGTGTGTGTGTGGGTGTGTGTGTGTGTGGGCCGCGCAGCGGCGCTGATTTACGGCTCTCAGGTGAGGCCGCCAGCAGGAGAGCTGCCCCCAGCACCCGGTATGAAATCCACTGAACCTTTGTGACTGCTGGAATACCTTTTCCCCCAAATGCTTTAGGCAACGCTCGGAGCATTGAGCAGATCATATGACAACAGATGAAAACATGAGTGCTTGTTGCACAGCAGCTGCTTGAAGCCCCGCGGCCACCAGGAGACCCCCGAAAAACCGGTCATCTGCTCTTATTTCTCATTTTAATGTCACCTAATGTTAAACTTACCACTACCATGTGTTTCCTACTGTAATTGTAACTCATTTAAGAGGACAGTAATGTTAAAATAAACACGATGGAAGAACTGAAGCTCTGTGAGCATTTCTGCTGGGTTTCATACCAAGTTACACTGATTAATGTAATATTTAGAAATGCTAAATGTTCACAGAGTAAATGCTGGATATTAAGTTAAATGAAAAGCCTCTTTTTTAGGTTAAGTTTAAATAAAACAATCATTTTGGGCGTGATAACTTTCGGTAGCTTTGATGTCCACATCACTTTAAGTTCTGTTGTGTGTATTTTTTTATTTAATTTCATATTTTAGAAATAGCTATGTTCTGTCTCTAGTATGTTATTAAAAGAAAAACATCGAAAGAATACAGATTTTTTTGCTTTTGGAAGAAAAAAAAGTACCACTCAGTATTTCAGCAGTTCATCTGAAATAGTTTGTTCCAACTTTTGAGAGCTATTTGTCCTTCACCGGTTCCACAGGTAAAAGTGGATTTATGTAAAAAAGAAACCAATCTGAGTCCACTGTGGAAAAAACGGTGCATGCCCACTGTTTCATCCTGGAAATATTGAAAATGAAGAGGCATAAAATGACAGATGCCCAGAAACGGAGGATATAATAGAACAAATGTGTGGTGGGCAAACACAATGAGTTTTAATCCGAAGAGAACATGAGACAGAGGACTGTGATCAGACGGGAGACGATAAAAAACTGATGTGACGCAAATAGGGAAAACCTGCGGAGAGACCATGAAAGAGGACCAAATAAAAGTTGCCTAAAACAACCACCAATACACTCAAGATGACCATAAAGTGACCAGAAATGACTGTGGAAAAAAGGCTTCCTGTGAGCAGGGAAACAGAACCTTCCCTTTATTGTACCGGAGGCCCTTTTTTTCTGCGTGAATCCAGCAGCCGTGTGCGCTTTTTGTGCTGAGAGGAGCCCAAACCGCGGGCAGACGCGCTGAGAGGGACTCGATCTGAGAGTGGACATTCAAAGGTTGTTTTGGGTCATATGACACATCTCAACAATGAAACCGAGCCACGGCATCCTGGGACCAGACCCCGTCCAGAGCTGGTGCGGGTCTATTCAGACACCCCGGAGATAAAGTAAAAAAACAAACTTTGGGGACCTTATTTATTTTGTTGGCCCCCTTTTTCTCATGTTACTGCGCTCATCGTCCGAGACGCTTCAAGAAGCCTCTCTCTTTCCTCCAGCTTTTTTGGGGGAGAACGATCCACGGGCAGGAAGGCAGATGTTTTATTCAGGAGGTGAGCGATAAGAGGGGGGAAGTGTGATTATGATAGCGATCGGCCATGCATCGATACTCAAGCCTCCGAGCAACGCGACACCCTGCTGCGCATCGACCGGCCTGTGGTAACCGGAGCCCGGCCCGCAGTTTGTTTTCAAGCAGAGCCACGGCCCGGGTGTCAGGGCCGCCCAGAGGAGGAGAGGAGAGGAGAGGAGAGGAGAGGAGAGGAGGCGAGGCCTGCAGCTGACCTGACAGAACCCATAATTTTAAAAGTCTCTGTTGCAGGATTAGTGGACGGATTCAGGACTTCTATAGACTTTCAAAGATTTATTTGATTAAAAAAAAAAAAAGATATATCCGTGATTGTTTCCTCACAGTTTTGGCTTCGAAACCATGCTTTACATCACCTCGTAAAAGAAGACGTTAATGAATCCACACTGTAAGTCCCAAACTCATATATTTTCTTATTTGGCCCGTTTTGTAATCTTACAACTGAACAAATACAAAACATGAATATATTTGGGCAAAAGGTTAGTATTTTAAATACAATTTGAATTTATCCATATAAAGAATAATGTCATATTCCATCTAACCATCTTCAAAAACAGGAGCAGCTCGTGTTACATTCTCTCAAGAAGTGTTTTGAGCGTTGTCAACTGCCGTCCGACTAACAGACCTGTTATCTACACTGTCCAAAGCAGGGGAACAATAGGAGCACATTCCTGTCTCCTCAGTTCCTTTCTCCATTTTATGTACCCTACACGGCTAATAACTGCACCCCAAGGGCCCTCTTTGAGGGCCCAAAACATACACTTATGTTCCCAGGTAGTAAGAGGACAAACTACAATTGCCAACTGAGGGAACCACCCCAGAGACAAATGTTAGGACGCCTAAAGGTACGGCGGTGTCTTTTTTCTTCTCTGAGAGTGTACCAGTCTAAAGTTCTGACACATCTACTTATTCAAAACCCAGGAAAAAATGTCCAACCTGTTTACTTTTGTCTGTAGGCCAAAGCATTGGGAAGTCTCTAAATGGACCATGCCTCCCATTTGACTAAGTGATACGGCAAGATTTGGTGAAAACCCAGTTGACGGATGTTTTTTTCCCTCCAACTGGGAGTAAAACACAGCTGAGTTTTGGTGTCTCTCACGTCCCAGCTGCCCAGAATCCACCCTGCATCCAATGTTTACGCCAATAGTTTTTCTTTACGATAGCAGAAGCAAATCATTTGCATAAAACAAGTCAAACGTTCATATGTGCCAACAGGAAAAGATAAAAGGGAAACAGAACTATGATGGGATCTAAATGAATCATTGGCTGCTGTTCATCCTCTGATTATACAATTGTTGTTTTTTTTTAGTTTGTTTATATTAATCTTGTTTCATAAATAATTTTTCTAGATGTCACATGTGGAATATATTAAAATTAATCCAGCATCAATTGCAGTAAAATTTCCCATTTAATCCTGATAATCTTTTATTGGTGTTTAAGTTATGTACAACTGAGAAAATACAGAAAATGATTAATGAAAGCATGTGTATTTAAAATAATAAAAATACAGAGGCACAAAGATGATTTACTCTGTACTTTGCTGTGTTTTGGGTTCAGCGTGTGCCTGTTTTAGGTTACTGTTAGATCATACTGCCACTTACTGGATGTGAACAATATTGCACCCAGATAAAAAAGCAGTACATTAATAACCCAAAATCCACTGAATGAGCGTAAGGAGCTGATCATTTTGGGCATAATTTTGAGGTACTGTCCTGGATTAAATATTTTTCTTTCATAATAACTGACAGCTCTAGTTTCAAGTTTATTTTTAGACAAACAAACTACACTGGATATTTGAATCATCTCCAATGCATCACACTGTTAACATTGAGGAAATGACTACCAAACAAGTCTGAAAACTAAGTTCTTACTTAGAAATCAGCCGTCCGAGTCAAATCCTAAATGTATGTAAATTATAGACAGATACAATACAATATATATTTATGTGTGTGTGTTCAGTGCATAAATGATCTATGTCAACAAACATTTTTGATAAAAGGGTTGAAGATTAGTTTGTTTTGTCTTTCGCATTAGCATTTTCCATCTCATGATCTGAATTTGTTCATAGAAAAGGTGGTCCAGCTCTGACGGATTCCTGTAACATGCCGCTAACACCATATGTAAAATATATATATATATATTAATCTTTGTTGATGTTTGGTTTAAATGAACTTAACAGCAAATACTTGTGGTTTTAATGCTGCTGTTTCTCCTAAAGTGGACTTACATGCGCTGCAGTATTTTCCCATTTTATCATCTTCATGTTTAACAGGAGACATCTGGATCGCAGGATACGAGGGATTTCTGTCCCTCAGTGATGAGTGGGTTGTAAAGTTGTATCCAAACAAGCGGGACTCCGTCATTCTACGCTCAGAAAGATTAATTACGCAGGGAAAATATTCAAGACAGCTGCCCGAGCTTTCCAGGTGTGGACATCCCTGCAAGTTCATCCCCAGGGCAGACTGTCCACTGGCCCAAGAGTATTAGCCACATCTCATGCTCTACAGTCCTCAGTTAACATGTTAAAGGTTAAAGTTCATGAGCTTTGAAGACAGAGAGAGCAGGTACGGCTTTGAATGGAAAGGCTGAATGTGCTTATGTTAGCAACACGTCTACACAAACGACAACACTTCTGGGAGAATGTCCATGGGACAATCGAGATAGATGTTTGGTCCCCGTGCACAGCCCGTGTTTGGCAAGGAACAAGAAGTCCCACCAAATGTAAAGCTCCAAAAGGTGGAAGACTGGTGATTTGGGCTTGTTTTGGGACACTTTAGAGTCGTGGAGTCTACCATGAACTCCCCTTTGTGCTGAAGCAAGATGGAGTCTAATGTGAGGCCGTCTGCCTAAAGCTCGTCTAAAACCGGGTGATAAAACCGGACAATGGGCCCAGTGTTGAGATGGTCAAGTCAAAGTACAAGACCTGGGTCCTATTGACATTCTGTGCATACAGACGAATAACTTCCTGTCACTTCCTGTCTTTGGTTCGCTGTGTCGTCCGTTTGCTGTCAGGCTGTAAGCGAACCGCTCACTGGACAAGAGCTGGATTATTTGGACCGTTTGAGGAGAGGAACTGGGACCAAACAGCGGCCGTGGGAAAGCACCCTTGAAGAAAAGTGAGACAAAATTCCTTTCTAACAGTGTGAGGGATTGATGATGTCATCCAAGAGACAACGTTGGTTACAGCCGCTTAACTGGTCCCACAGGCTGCTACAAGGTGGTATGTACTCATCTTTTTTTACATCCTTATTCTGCATTATTTATTGTAAAGGATGTTTCGACACTTTGTAATTTGTGTCGTCGTTTACCTGAGGTCACATAAAATTTTAAGACCTGCTCAAATCAAGATATTTTCTCTCTTTTTTGTTTTTATTTATCTCTGAATACACAAAATGATAGAATTCAAAGACCGTTTCTTTTATCTGTCTGGAACACTATAAAACACGAGCAACAGATGTTTGGTCATTCAGCATTTACGCTCAGCTCAGTCCTCTGACTCTGACACTGCTATTTCGGGCTGGACAGGGCAAGCAGGCCTCTCAGGAAACACGGTGCCCAGAATCTCCAGGGCAAGAAAGAGGGGCTGGCCCTTTTGGTTTTCAGGCTTCTCTCTTGTGGAAGCAGCTGCCAGTTTTTGGAACGGGGCACAGACGTTCCCTCTGCTTTTAAAACTAAGCTGGGCTTAGCTGACATTAGATTGCACTCACTGATCCTTTTGTGCACTACTTCTTTTAATGTGCTCGTTTTTGTCTTCTCTGTACTTTTACTTATTCTCTCATTTATCTATTTAAATGAGAGAATAATTATTTATCCGGACATTAAATGTGTCTGACTTTTACATGTTGCTTCATTTCCGCTTTTTGTCTTTAAACCGTAATTTAGCTTCTCAGTAAAGAACTTAGTTTCAAACATGCTTAAAAATAAACCTGGCTGGGAACGTTGGATTTCCTTTGATAATTTGTTCTCATGGGTAGAGTAGCCTAACATCCATTGTCATTGCATAAGGGCATTGGTTTGCCCTCTCAGTAGTTCAGGGCCGACATTTCTGGACTGTCCCTAAAATCCTTCTGCCTGCGTTTGTTTGGCGGGCCTCCAGCCCAGACTTCTTAGTGAACAGTTGTCTTGCTCCCATTTACCCTCCTCCGGTCACCTCCCCTCCCTATTAAAAAGATATTGAGGGAGAATTTAAAATGCTTAAGGAGAAAACTGTGTCCACTTGGTTCTCTGTGCTCATACTGTTGCTTAATCTGGCCTTGGCCAACCATTGCCCACCTCGGGATCCAGACTGACTCTTTGTTTCTTTGGTTGAGGTTCAGTTGTGTAATTCACTATTCGTCTCCTATTCAACCAAAAGTGGGGACTGGGGCTTTCAGATGCTGCCTCGAGACTCTTTCCTTTAACAAGTCCTGGATGCGCTGATGGTAAGATGCCAAAGTGCAGTCTGTTTACATAATAGCCTCTCTAGAGTCTCACAGTGATGAATGGACATATAGCTGGAGGTGAAACTGAGCCTTGCTGGCCAAAGTTAGTCAGAAGCTGACTTATGTGTGTGTTCTTATTTTCTCCAACTCACATTATCACCTCTGAGCGACTACCGCGTGTGTAGTTGCTTTTTGCGGCTGTCCCCCAAGTTCTGTGCCAGCTGTTGATGGGGTTGACCAACTGACGTCAAGCTGTGGAAATATAGCTGTGGTAAACGGGAGGAGCACAGCCGAGGCTTCGGGTGGCTGTTTCTGATTCTTTTACAGGCCCCTTTACGGGAACACAGCCGACTTGTTGAGTCTGAACAGCCATCAGATCACTCAGACACGTCCACACAGGGGGAACAGGCTCACACAGGACGTTTCAGTCAGCTTGGTAGACTGCGCTTTCGCTGACAGCACATTTAAAAAGATGCACGGCTTTGAAAAAAAAAGAAAAAGAAGCTTTCGCTGAGAGCAGTCAGGCTGTATACCTGAGAACACACGTACACTGAAACCGGGCATGTTGGCTTTCAGGTTGTTTACACATGCCAAGCAGACGTAATGCATTCCTTTTACATCCTCTCTACCACCTCTGTTTATATTGTGCAGTATCGCAGCACTTAAAAACTGGGTCATGTGAAGACTCAAACATTTTTTCCACTCATAGCTCGTTTTCACCATACCACATAAGATGCTTCCAGTCTTTGCTTAATTCCAGAAGTATTACTCACGACACGCTCCAAAAAGAATGTGTCTGGAATAAGACAAAAAGTATTAGTTGCCTGTATGAACCTGAAGTTGCCCAGGCAGCCAGCAGGGTGAGGTGGAGGGCTTGGCAAGGCCCCATATCTTGGATAAGATGCTGCCTTCAAGTGCTATTGGAAAGTAGGTTAACCCAACATCAAACCAGAATGTTTTACTTTTGTTGGTAAACTGAGCTAGTTTAGATGCGACTGGAATAAAATAGACGCAAGGTACCTGCATCTAAAGTATTAATTTTTTTAACCGTTAATGTGTGTACTAAAACACTGTTGTACAGATAAACTAAGACGCGGGTTTTGTGACTTCTCTCTCAGCCATTATGAGGAAAGAGTAAATTAACATAAACTTTCCGATCGCTGTGTCAGTGTTATGCTAAAACACTGGAAGAGGTCTCACTTTGCTGGTTTAGAGGTCCGCAAGGAATACATTTAGGTTGATTTTTTTTCGATATTTTGTTATGTATGTGAGAATGTAACTATTATGGTAAAGCGCAATGTGATGTTGGCTGGATGTATGTGTCAAAAACGTATTGTGTTGCAGCTGATGGAGACGAACTAAACGACTCACGTGCTAAATGTGTTTTTAAACGATGCATCATATATATTTCATACATAATGTTTATGCAATGTCCACCTCAACCAGACATTAAAAATAAATGCCAATCCCTACTTTCGAGATGCTGTGATTTCGACTCCCGCGTGTGTTTGTTAAATGTGGCTTTAAGGATTTGAGCCCGTGACTTTCCAACGATACAACAAAAGACGAGCACGTTCGGGCGGGATGTTTTACGAGGCGCACTCGAACGCGTCGTGGGATTGTAGCCTACTTTGAAGCTCGCGGGTTGGGCCAGACTCCAATGAATTTCCACGGACCTACCGTGCGACCGAGCACACCGAGAAAAGCCCGGCCGAGGCGCATGACCAGGCTCTTCCGAGCAGCGGTAAACCAGCCGAAAGTGTGTGAGGAAGAGAGTTGGTTTTTCTGTAGCCGCGGTTCCTCTCGGCTTCTCTTATTTTTGCTCGTAGAAAAACCTCTCCGGGATAGTGATTGGAGTTGACAAGCTCGCTCCACTACTGTATCTACCCGCACCTCCTCCTCCTCCTCACCCTCACCCTCCTCCTCCTCCTCTCCCGCTCCAAACACAACCAGGAAATCGTCGAGGTGTGCTTCTTTATCCCGCTGGTGGCTACCCCGTTTGCGGGTGTAGATGCGCTGTGTTTTTTTCTCCCCTTTCGGTCGGTATTTCACCCCACCACTGTGACTAAAGCCCGGGCTTCACCCCTGAAAGTAAGCCGAAGTTGCCTTCGAGGAGAGGACCTCCACTCTGGCCGAACAATGAGGTTGGTAAAGCGGCTCAAATCCGTTCATCTTCATTGTGTTTTCAGGCTACATTTCGTCTTTTGCCCGGTGTTTCATCAAAGGCGACTGTTAGAATTATGACCCCGCGACACTCCCTCGGCCCGCCGGCTCGTTTAATCCCCCTAGCAGCGTTTTCCCAGCACGCTAAACTTCCCGTTTCATTCAGGAATAACTTGAGCTTTCGGCTTTTTTTTCCTTTTTTTTTTGGGGTGGCTAGTTTTCCAGCTCCACGGACTAGGATGAAACTCTTTAGCTGAGTTTCGTGACCTTAGCTTGTGGCAAACTTAATGCTGTGTATATTTCTCTGGCCCTGTTTTTTTTTTAACCTGTTCGAGCGAGGTGGGTTTGACGGGAAAAATGCACAAGTGGAGCTGGTCAGTTGGCAAAAAGCAGGTTTTAGCCCCTGAAACGGCCGTGGGTTGTCCGGACAGGACTTCCACTCGCCCCAACTCCTCCTCACACTGTCATGCATGGAAGTAACCTTTGCCACTTTCACGGTGGGGAGAAAAAGAAGAATGCTGCAAAAACACCTCTCTGCTGAACAAAAGTGTATTCATAACCAAGAGGTCAAAGGTCAACTTTTATATATAGAGCACTAAAAAAGGATTCAGTGTGTGGGTTCCTGTTTTTTTTCCCCCTTTCTTTTATTACTTTTTAAAGGGGAGGGGGCTGCTTTGGGGTGCACAATGATCACTTGGTTGCCCTGCGAACGCATGTGCCGTTTCTAACATGTCATGCATTCCACAGACGCACAGTAAACCCACCCCCACTGTTTTCCTCCCCCCTCCCTCCTGCCTGTTGGGTTGCAGTCGCTTTGCAACCGGCAACAAAATTGCCATGTACGAGGCTCACGTCCTCCAAATTCCAGGTCCTGTCGCGGCCTGTTTCGCCGCTCCGTGCTGGGAAGCGCTGCGGCGGTGGGCAGGGGGGGCTCCGGCCCCCCCCCCCCACGCGTTCAGAGCAGGATGCCCCTTTGGTCTCTGGGAAAGCTTTGCCAGTGGAGGGTTAATTTCTGGACCTTGAGGTGGAGCGGAGCATGGTGGTGGCGCAGGGCCGCTAACCTGAGTAACAAGTTTTTTTTTCTTTTTTTAGTTTCTCTTATCTCGGCCCTTCTGCAGCGCCCTTTCCGTAACAATGTAGGCTATCTCGGCCCGGCTGATGGGCTGGTCTGGCAGTTTCTATTTGCCTTTGCGCATGCTTGTCCCTGGTAACTTTGATTGCTGCAGGAGGCCCCAGATCTGACTGAAACATGGCCGCAGTATCGTATTAGATACACTCAGTTTATTTGGCTATTGATAAAACTGTTCAACTCAATTCAACTGCTGCTCTTATCAGCAGAGATGACTCTGCATACTCTCTGAGATAAACGCTGCGCTGTTGTAGCTGGTGTGGATTTGGAGGAGATGGCATGTGCTTTTGGTTTATAAGCTAAAGTTATCGTGGGGCAGATCAGCATGAGGGCGCCTAGTCCAGCCAGTGGGATGCACCATAAAACGACAAGCCATCAGACAACAGGATAAGCAAACCGCACGATTGTTGAATTGCTCTGTTGCACTAATACCACCCTGAGAACACCTTGCTTGGCAGAAAGCTCAAAGGTAACCGGACGGCACGTGTGGCTGCGTCTCCTGGGATGGGAGACGGCGGCTTTTTGCTCTCTGAGTGGGTTTTTCCCTCTAACTGGATGCAGCTCGCCATTGTGACCCAAAACGCTTCATGTAACCTTGCATAATGGGTAATGACTGGTATGCAGCCCATCTCGTGCTCATTGTCCGTTCGGGAATGTAAATGTTGACACAGGAGGGCAGTCAGTTGGTCAAAAGTTCAGCCATCGAGCCGGTTGAGAAAGTGACTCCCGGGATGCTTCCCGACCCGGAACCGCCCTTTTGTCATTTGGCTGGTGGAGAGGCAGAATTACAGAATTACCCTTTAATTTGCAGGAATGACGTTTTTTTATTTTTGTTTATCTGTTTTTTCTTCTTTGTGTTACATCCTTGTCAAAGAGAACAATGAAGAGGATTGTGTTCAGAGGGGGGCGGGGTCAGGTGTCACAGGAAGTGCAGTTGTTTGCATCACGATCAAGGCTGAGTTGACTCAGACATTTGACAAAACAACTTTTTCTCATCTGACACATGCAGCACAGCTGGCCCGGGCTGAACAATTAACGACGGTGACGTGTCGGGACACACAGACAGGTGTGCCCCCCCCCCCCTCCAAACACTGTTTGTCATCTTTTAGGTCAGACTATGTGAGGAAGTGATAGCAAGAGTGCTCCTTCTACTCCTCTCTACTCTGACAAGAGCTTATTATTGATTGCTCCTGAAAGCAGGAAAATGCCCCCCCCCCCCCCCCACACACCCTTTATGTCTCCACATCACTTTTCTCTCCTTCGGAATGCAGCGCTGACAGTGACCTTTGCAGTTTTGCTGTCATACCATCTTCCTCTGTTAAGATGCTCTCTGTGAACCCATGTCCCAACAGGCAGTTGTTGTTTTTTTTCTTTTCTAAGGCATTTGGTAAATGTTTCGGCACATCCCCCGCGTTCAGGACAACGCAGTGTAGCTCGCTACCGGGTTGCGACAGCAGCGCGTTCTTGCTTCGTTGTTGTGTAATATTTGTGTATGTCCGACGCGTTGGGATGCTCGAATTTTGTGCTTGGCACAATCTTAACAGATTTAGTTTTTTTTGTTGTTGTTTGTTTCTTTTGGTTTTGAAGCCTTTAAGCTTGACTGGTCCAATTCAAAACATCAACAACGTGTTAGAGCCAAACACCTCCCGAAAACCCACTCTCCTCTCCTCTCTTCTCCAGGAGCAATAACCATTTGAGGTAATTGGTGTGTGCTGTTTATCCGTCATAGCTGAAGAGTAACGGCTTTATTTCATGCATCATAAAGAGTTCCATGTGGAGAGGAGCGTCGGGTGTGTTGCTGTGTAGCCAGCCTGTAGGATGTTGCGTTCAAATGCTCACAAAGCGCCCATCGTTCCACCGGCTCTTCCAAATGGTCCTGCCTCGTGAGTTTGTCTCCCACAGCACCCAGTGACGGCTACCCCCTTCCCTGAAACAATTTACCCCTCTGGGCCCTCCCACCTCTCGCGCTCATAAATGGGCCATTATGCTGGCTTGCCTCTTGGATTAGACGCTTTGCTACAGGAGTTGCTCAACATACAAAATCCTCCATTGTCTACTTTGTGACAAAGCCGGTTTCCTTGGTGGTAGCGGCTGCTTTTGCCTTACGTAAGGACTTTGGACTCTTGAGTTCTCTCTGTGTCGTGTATTTTTGTCTGTAATCATTTATCCGTGGCTTATTTTTACTTCACATCTTTGTTACTCATTTCTCACCCTTGTTGGCCAGCTTTTTGTGCGCATTTATGTGAGTTAAGTGTCACAAACTGATGCCGAACTATTGCCCCCAGGAAATTAGGTGCTTAAATAGAAAGTCATATTTGTAATGTGCTTACACCCCTCTAAACCAGAAGAATCCCAATATGGTTTCATTCACATCCTCATGAATATGAGATGGGATTTTTCTCGATTTATGGGAAGTAATCCAGCTCCTCTTGGTGAAGCTGTTCCCTCTAAAGATGGATAAGATGTGTAAACATTTTCTTAAAAGCTGACCACATACATACACTAGGGGTGGGACGGTTCACAAAATCCACGGTTCGGTTCGTTTCACGGTTTCGTGGTCACGGTTTTCGGTTCGGTTCGGTATATGGTGATTGTTAGGAAAATCTATTATGTCTTGTATAGCCAGGTTAAAACTAAGAATGGGGATCGTTAATATTTATTGATATCGATACTTTTATCGATACTCCTTATCGATCCGAGTCTTTATCGATACCACTATCGATAATTTTCTGTTATTTGGTGGAAAGACGATGCAACAATATTTAACAAATAAATAATTGTATTTTAAATTAAATGTAATTTTTAATAAATGTTGGCATCAGTAGTTTAATTATATATTCTAAAAATAATTAGAGCAATATACAACTGTATTACTCATGTTTCTCGCCAAAAACTCAATTTCCCTTTTCTTTACGTTACACTTGAACGCATCATGATAACCTAATTGTCGTTTTACTGAGCCAATCTGAACACATCATCACGCAGCACGTCTGAAACTTTATTTACTTTTCAAGCTAACTAGCTTGTATGCTGCCGATTACAACACAGATTTCACAATTACTATTGTAATAAAAAAAAAAGACCAGACTCGATAGTGGTATCAATAAGCCCAAACGTTATTGATTTTTGGGTTTTGAAAAAAGTGGAACCAGGTCCTTGATAGAACCGGGTTTCGATCCCCATCCCTAGTAAAAACTGAAAGAAAAAAGCAGTCTGACATTTGATCCATTATTGTGACAGTCTTAGGTTAAAAGTAGGTGAGATTATGGCATTGCAAGAGAGGAAACAGTGCTAATTCCAACATGTGCTTCCCTCTAAATGCAAAGTGGTCCATACAGCAGACCTAGAAACTGCTGTTGGCGCGTCTGATTTTTATCGGCTACGCTGCTTCTTCTTCTTCTTCTTGTATCCTACTGGTGGTTGACTTTGGGTGCAGTAGCGCCCCCTTCTGCTCTGGAGTGAACACGCTTCCCTCTGAGAAAAAGGAGCAGTGCATGAACCGTGCGGTACACACGCGAACCGAACCGAGACAGTCGAACCGAACGGTTCAGACGGTTTTCAGAAACCGTCCCATCCCTAACATACACATGGCTTTTGAATGAGTGTTTAACCCATCTCTCATTACGTGTTCAATCCTGACTAGATTTGTCACCTTTGATTATTTGACAAGCTTTTTTATGACTTTGGCTGTTACCCTGAATAAAAAAAGTTCCCGTCTGATGGTCTCTGCCCCTCAGAAAGGACAAAAAGTTCTCATTGATTTCCCAGAACAATTCATTTGATTACTACAGAAATATTTAGCCGCCGTAGATGTTGTTGTATTTTTCTATCGTCACATCCTTTTGATGACTA